ATTACAGTCGACCCCCCTATAAGATCATTGATTTTTCCGTTTTATCTGAATTACATGTTGTACGAGTCACTTAGATTTTACAAATATGTGAGCCGTTCACAGTCCGGCACACGTATTTGTAAAATCTAACTGACTCGTACAACATGTAATTCAGATAAAACGGAAAAATCAATGATCTTATAGGGGGGTCGACTGTAATTGAGAGTCTGAGATCATGATAAAATTTAGAAAATACATGTATGAATCTGTTACAAATAATTGAGTAATTATATGAATTTATAATTATAGTATATACTATATAGTTCTTAATAATTGATTTATACAGTATTTATAATCAATTTTGTTGTGTTTTTATTACCATTTTTAGTATCTTAATTTTTAATTACTTTTTTTTTCATTAAATCTTTTTAGATATAGCATGCAGCTTATCCACTAGTCCAATCTCAAATACTAAAGTTGAAGGTATGTTATAAAAAATGTGACAAACAGTTAATTTGGTTATTTAAAATACACAGGATATCAACTTAAACATTTATCCGAGAGCAAGAGAGATCTTTTCAGCATTTGTTGAGTTAGGTTGTGGACTGCAGTGGACACAAATACACTGGATATTACATTGCCAGGATGTGCATTCATTCTGCTTGCTATCTGTAATCAGCACAACATGCTGAGAATGCCACACGGTAATTTGCACATTTTACATCTCAAGTGCATTTTACCCAAAATGTCTGGTATGGAATTTGTGGTGAGAAACTTCTTGGTCTCATATTCATTGACAGCATCCTTAATAGTGACAAATATCTGAACATTCTGAACACAATGAATGAATGGTTTAATAACAGTATGATAACAAATCAGCTCATTCCTGTACAGGCATGTAAGTTTGGCAACTGCTTGATAAGATAATGTCCTGTTTCATGGCCATCACATTCTCCAGACTTGAATCCTCTGGGGTCATCTGAAAACATTTATGTATGATGCATGCCCAGTAATACCACATGATGTTGTCAAACTGGAGATATGCATATGAGAGACCTGTGAAACAATCAATACTGTCTAAATCTGTTAAACTAAGCAATACTAAGTGATGCTATTGAGAGCATTGTTGAACTTGTTTTCTTGAAATGCTGCATACAGTGATCCTTGCAGCATAGTCAACTGGTTTGAGGTTAAATCTGCAGTGCTTGTTTCAGTTGCATTTCTTGCTGCAACAAAGATGGCTGCTTTCATGCTGGAAAAGTCAAATTCTTATATGATGTGACAGTAAATTAGTTTTAATTACCATGAATCAATATTCTGTTTGTAATAATTTTTTTTTTTAAATACTCATTAGTAAAATGAAATCAGATTTGACAAAACTTGTATATTTAAAATGTTTTATCTATTTTGTTGAAGGAAGATGCTACATACACTAAATTTAAATTATTAACTTTATACCTTCTGAACAAGGCATTGCATCACAAAAATGAATTACTTTTAAAATGTTTCAAATGAAATAATTCGCAAAACATTTCAACAGCAGCACCAAAATCTGCAATTTTGGAATTGCAGTGCATTGTTAACAGATCTTTATAGTGATTGCATCACTTTGCATGTAGCATTCCTGATGGCATTAGGCTTGTTAAATTCGTCACTGCAGATCAGCACTGCTACTGAATTGAACAACAAGTCGAATGACATTAGGAATTCTACATGCCATCCATAATGCCATGTTTAACCGTCTATATCTTTGTATTACTGCTGTAAACATATTTAAAATTATAGTAATACTTTTATGTTACTGTAGTTTTAAATATGTTCTCAACACACTCATGCAATGTTGGAAAGATACCTTTTACCCTTGAATAGATGTTTAAGTGGATGCACTGTATATAGATTATATTAGATATTAAAATTTTTAAATCTGTATATGTAGAAAAGAAGAAAACACTCTCAAAACCAGGCCTTAAAAATATCGTACTTGTTGAAGCAGTTCGCACTCCGTTTTTAGTATCTGGAACACATTACAATGATTTGATGTCATATGATTTACAAAGAAATGCATTTTTGTAAGTAAATGGCTTTATATACAATATTCTAAAAATATTTAATATATATTAAACATACCTACAAAATGATTTTTAGACTTTAATTAATTTAAAACAGCACAAAAATAAAATTACATTTGTAAGCACTTTTTATGAAAATATAAATTGTTATTCTTCAGGATGAAGAACAAATGTGAAAAGAACACAAGTTGTTTTTAGATTGTTTTTATAAAAATATATATATATATTCTTCTATTTATTATTTTCATCCAAAGTACTTGCAAGTATATACAGTAGTACCTCAGGATATGAAATTAATCCATTCCGAAACTGAGATTGTATCATGAAAATGTTGTAAGGTGAATCATTTTTCCCCATATGATTACATGTAAAACCAAATTATCTGTTCCAACATGAAAAATACACTCAAATTAAAGCTAAGTAGTACATTGAAAAAAAATAACTTTAGTAAAGAAAACACTGAAAAATGTGTTTTGTAGTTGTAAATGTATAAATAACCATAATAGAATAATAATTGATAAAAAATGTAGCTTTATTTGCACTTTACCTTTGAGGATAGACGACAGTGGAGGTGTAAACTGGTGATGGAGGAGAGGGAAAAGGGAAATGATACTAAAACTTAACATACATAACATAATGTAACTAACTTAAAAATAACTTAACACTAATTATATATATATATATATATATTTTAAATGTTTTATTCACTGCGTTTTGCTTTCTTTCCTTCACTTCCACCAGCACTTGGATAGAGGTTGCTTGGTAAAATATCTATCCAGAGAGGTTTGGCTTTGCCTACTTTTTAAAATGTTTTTAAAATGACTTAGGCAAATGTCATTAAACTGAGCAGCAATATGGCCAGTGTGAACCTTTTTGGGATGTTTCTTTTTAATAAAATCAGTCACTTTCTGATAATACCTCAAAATTTCCTTTATCGAGTGAGATCCTTCCACGACAAAGCAAACACGTGGACTGGGACCGATGAACAGAAGGAACATGTGATCATGGCGGTAGTGCTGCGAAATAATGTGACATCGTATGGTGAGTTTTTGTTTGTACCGTGTAGCAAAAACATGTTCAAATTTCATGTCACAACCTGAAAATTTTGTATGCTGAAGTGTTCATATCCTGAGGTACTACTGTACAAATAAACAATTTGTATAACTCAATGCAATTCAAATAAACATTTTAACAACAAATTCCATGTCTTGATTGCAATGCAATTAATGACCTTTGATCTGCTGCATTGTTAATGACCAGTTTCTACAAATGTTTGAGTGGGTAAAGTCACAAGTTGAATGTAAGATGGTATCTTCATTTAAGATGTCTGAACATTATTCTCCATTGTAAGGCAGTGGTGGATAGACCTTTTCTTATGGAAAATTTGTGTTACTCAAATAACATGAATTTTACCAGGACATGGAAACCATCTAATCGTCTTAAAGTTTTTTTTGTAGTAGATTAATTGGATGCTCCTCCATACTCATAAAAGCATGGACTATAATTCATTTGATTGTATACATCACCTATTAGGCATAATGTTATGTCCAATAAAGTTGTTTTTTCTTTTTTAAAAATCTTTGTATTTCTACTATATTCATCTTTCAAATTTACTCAATTAAACCTGATAATGACCATTTAAAACAGTTGAAAATGTTTGTTTTGCTTACTAAAGTAACTTTTTCTTGCTGAATTTTGGTATTAATTTTTATTATTTTTATGTGTTTTAAATTAATTCAAGTTTATTAACACTGAAAGACAGTTATGTAATTTTTAGAAGGCTTCTCGGTCTTCATGATCTATTTCTTAGCTTAATTTTCAAAAATGTAGTTGAAACAACTCTGTCACATAAAAGGCTATTTTGAAGAAACTCTATGGTTATCATATAGAATAAACTTAGATAGCACATACCAGCATTGGGTTATTGGAGATTAATTTTAATATCTGTTGATTTTCTTCAGTTTAATGCAAAAACGATTCCATATAAACAACCAGTAATGTTTACATGGAAGTGTTACTTTGTCTCAGACTAAATACATTAAAGAAGTTTCTCATATAGCCTTGGTTTTGATTAGTATCAGTTTTAAAAAAATTGGTCAGAGAGATGATGGAGATTTCCAAAAATAGTTCAGATTTAATATCAATTTCTTAACTTTATGTATTAAATATTTATTTTGTTTATTCTGTAACTACAATTACATTTTGACTTTCTTTTTAATTAGGAGTTTGTTAAGAAGAACAGGAATTTCCAAAGGTAATATTCATTTTCTTTTTATTATTGTTAATAAAATTCTATTAACTAAATCTATTTAAATTAAAATTTTTTAATATTCTGGATTTGTATTGCTAATTTAGTTACATTAAATTCAACGTCTATTAATTTATATGAATATAAAACATGGTTTAATAATTTCTTTATATATAAAATGGAGTTTTTTTAAGGTTTCCATAAGTGTTAAAATCCTTGAAAGTTCTTAAAAATGCTTGATATTTTTTGTGGTGGTTAAACAGGGTGACCATATTTCTTCAAATACATGGGGAAAAGTATGGGATTGTTAAAATGCCCTTCAATATATGGGAAATATGCAGGAATTTTTTAAATCTGGGTATGGAAAATCTGTAAGAGACATAGAGGACATGTCTCCTTCCAATATTTTTATACTGGCAAATTTTTCCCTCCTAACATATTTCTTATACTGCAAAAGTTAGAAGTGGAAATGAGTACTGTACACAACAGGTACAGTACATGTACTCAAAACCTGACAATGAACAATTTTTCTTACTTGTTGACATGGACCCTCCAGTATATCAAATATAAATGGTAATTTTCTTTTAGACATTTATTGATTAATAATATACACAAGTGAAAACTTTAGTTCTTCTCTACATATCCTCCTGCAAGCTTTAAACACTTTTGCCAATGATTTGAAAGCTTCAATATCCCTCTCTCATAAAAAGATTGAGGGCAATTGTGCACGTGCTCCTCGACTTCTTCATTGCTTTCGAATCGTTTTCCTCCAAGTGATTCCTTCAAGGGTGCGAACAAAAAATAGTCACAGGGGGACAAGTCTGGACTATAAGGAGGGTGTTTGAGAGTTTCCCAGCCCATTTCAACCTGATCTGTTTTTGATTTCTGGTCAACAACCTCGGAACCCATCGGGCACTAATTTTTCTGAAGCCAAGATGATCAATGATAATGGATTGAACACTCCCATAGCTGATACCCTCTTCTGATGAGATTTCTTTGACAGTTAACAGGCAATCACGTTCAATAAGCTCTTGAATGGCAGAGATGATGTCATCTGTAAGGCTTGTCCTTGGGTGTCAATCATGAGCTTAATTTTTGACATGTTCTCGCCTACCATTAAATTCTCTGGCCTATGTATACACACAATTCTGAGACAGTGTACTGTCCCCAGACTGTGCCTTCAATTGACTAAAAATTTCCGAGGGTTTAACCCCCTCGTTAGTTAAAAATTTTACGATGATACGTTGTGCAACAGATGAATGTACCTTTTGCTCTGTCATGGCTGTACTGACGACGAAACTGAGTTCACTCGTTAACCAAGCCAGTTCCCCCACTCCTCACAAATCAAACATCAGCTGCACTCTACATCATGTGGCTAGGAACTGTGTGGTAAGCAGAATAGCAAAATTACCGTTTATATTTGATCCATCTTTGTATAGCTGATGATGTAGACAGTAGACAGGGGATGAAGTTTAGATTCTGGAGTTCTATGGAAAATGAAATTTTTTTTTCATTACAACTAGTCTTTCCATTTGAAACTACTGCCAAAATTTCTTCTAACCTAATCTCTCTATTCTGTGCTACAATTCTTAAACTTGTACACATTGACTCTGCTATAATCCCTTTCACAGTCTTCACAAGGTAGCAACATGAGATAAATTGATAAAGCTTTTCCAGCTTTAAGTTATCTACTGGCTTTGCAATTCAGCAGCTGAATTGCAAAGCCAGTAGATAACTTGAAGTTGGCAGGAAATTGATCACAACCTATGATTTTTATGAACTGCCCTTTCTATTCTAGATAGGCCATCTTTCTCAGATTATATAGCTTGTGGAGAAATTCTATTATATTCCAGCCAGTGCCATTAATGTCTGTTTTAAAATGCATTATGGGGGTGTGTTCAGCCACAGGATCCCAAATTGAAAATTTTTCTTCTATCCTTATTCCAAGGAAATTTCTTTTTCAAGTTCTCTAAATTTTTAATTGACATTTGGCCCCTTTATTGAAATATGCAAGAGTCTATTCTTTAAAGATTTTAAAAAATCCTCTGCCTTAGATTGTCTTTAAAACTCGGAAGTCAAAAGTACTGTACCTTGTTGATACTTGATTCTTCTTTACATCCCAACATCACACTGAAATATCCATTTTCTATATCTATGCAATTTTATGTTGTCATCAAATCTTGTAACAAAAGCAGGACTTGATTTCAATATTTTATCTTATTCTGAATGTAGAATGTAGTAGTACCATAAACAATAAGATAGGAAATTTTTGTTAATGTATCTGCATTTTGCTTGTGATTTTGCAATGTGGAAACATTTTACTAAATATGGATACATCATTCTTACAGTTTCTTAATAAATCATGATTTAAAACAGTTTATGAACACCAAATAATTTGCGATGTTACTTTATCACAAAGAAGAAATTTTTCCATGATGCTTTGCTTATAAATCTTGGGATTATTACATGCAGATTGTTTCTGGAGATATGACAACAGAAGATACTAGCTCTGTGCTGTTTGTGGGATTGTCACTTGAACTTTGAAGATGATGGATGGAATAAGTATGATTGAAACCTTGGTCTTTAATGTTCTAATGTGCACCTTCTCTCTTCAATAACTGACCAATGCCTGCCATCCCATGCTTGAAACACTGAAGTTTGAATTACACATAGAACATCTATTAATTAAGATGTACTGTATATTATCTGCCACTCTTGTCACCAAGGAAAATTCAACTTGTTACACTGCCCAATACTTTGTTTGTCCAAATACACCATCCATGATCTTGAATTATCTAGGCAATTCAAGAAATAATAACCAGAATACTAAAGCCAACTAATTTCACAACTACCTAGTAACAGTTATTTATCCAAATTTGTAATTGCAGAATCACAACAAGGAAACTACAACATGACTGCAAACATTTTTATAATGTTTTTCCCAATAGATTGTGAGTATATCACCAAAACTGCTCCAAACCGATGAGGTTCCATAAACAATTTAATGATAATACAAGTTTTATTAAATAATTAGACACAAATAACAGTAGAAAAAAACTTTTTGTTCGGCTGGATGTGGAAACTGTTACCCAGAGGTTCTAAATATAAAATAATATGCAGAGCATTCAAGACAAGTGCTACCATATTTAGACCATGAGTTTATAATCATAAAGGTTTTTAAATTAAAATGGTTATTAATTTATTGCTTTAGCCAATTTAATGGAAATTTTTATAATTTTAACTCACTTGACAAAAAGTTTTGACAAAAAGTTTAAAAATTCTGTGTTGTGTGTGTTTGGAAAGATGAATTTAATTATTTTTATAAACATGACTTTTTCATTAAATTTATTACAAATTAAAATCAAAACATTTTTGAGTAGAATATTTCTGCTTGCAACTTACAGCAGTGATGAATCATTTACAAAACTAATGGATTCTAACAATTTTTCTTTTAGATTCATTCGAATGAATGACTTGTTAATAAATCACCTTGTCTCTAAATCACTGAAGTCGTGAATATAAGGTGTTCTGCTATCTGGTTTCTGATTGGTGAACAGAGAATTATTTTAATAAAGATATATACATTTTTGATTGTTTTTGAGTCAGCAATAGAAAATCAAGCACTTTTAATTAAAAACTTTTGCCTATTTTTGAGAAAAAATAAGTACTTTTAACAGGGTGTTCACTGAATTCCAACCTTACATTACCTGCATATTCCAAGATTTTTTTTAATATCCAGAAAAATATGTATTTTTCATTGGTAGTCCCCATAAGTGTGTATATTTTCTGCATGATATATGTCACTTAATCATAACTTGAAAAATAAAAGATACTGAATGTATATAGTAGCTGATAGTGGACTCACTAATTAGGACATTTATTCACACCTTAAAATCACGATAAATTTATTTTTTCATCATGACTTTAGCTTTTAGGTTAACCTTTCCTCAACAAGTGATATTTCTTTCTGTGTATCCTCCATAATCTTTTGTTTCTTTTCCTCAAGCTTCTTTATCTCTTGTGTAATTCTTTGCTTGTTTTTCAGTTTAGTTTCCTTCTGCTCTTTCTCTAAATCATCATTGTAATGTGCACTTGCATTCATCACATTATGGATTTTCAGTTTAGTGATACTAATTTTCTTCAAACCATCCAAGTTAGTAACAGCATTGCAAACATGTCTTTGAACAATTAAGAAGGACTCTTTCTGATTATTGATGGACAATTTTTTGTTTATTGAAAATCCTTTTTGTAAGTTGGAGTTACCATTTGATGATAACATGAGCTGAACAAAAAATTTTGTTCCGATGAGGATTTTGTCCTATAAGTCTCAGCTAAAATGTATCCAAATAGCTCTTGGATATTTCTTGAATAATATCTTGTAATCTCTTGAATAATTCTTAATCTCGTTTGATACATCATTTACATTACAAAATCTTTGAATTGCCCAGTTATTTGATCTGCTCTTATTACTGTGACAATGTTATCAACAAGAACATGCAATGCAGAATCCAATTAGTTTGATGAATTTCTTGAAATGTCACAGGAATTTAAACAGGTAACAGCTTTTTAAAGAGGATACTTAAAGTAGTGACTCTTCCATTACCTTTGCCACAAACAGTTTAAGGTATTTTCTAATCCTGGCAAAATTGCAATGTTTCTTTTTTCACTGGCATGTTTTCATTGCAAAAGAGGCTTAATTTCAAATTGCTTTAACATCTCTAACTAGGAAAAGGTTTCCCTTTTCCATTGCATCAATTTTAATCAATTTTTTTATTTAAGACTTTCCTTTCACAATTTTTTTCATAGCTTTTTTTATACAATACTGGTAAATTCATCAAATAAGAATGGAGCCATTGATCTATCTGTCTGGAATTCTTTAAGAAATGGCTCATTTGAAAAGGACGTTTAATGTAAATGTTATGTATGATAAATTTGATACTTTAGTTTGTTTCTTTTGAAGAACTTCAATTTTTGAATGTTTATACTACTAAGTTTTTTAAAAATGTGTAAAATTAAAAAGTTTTTGTTCATCTATGTGCTAATTTTTTTATTTTACTTTTTTTTGAAGAATGAAATTTCTTGTTTTCTTTACTATTTTAGCAAATTGATAATTTCTCTGACACACTGTTTTAATAAATTGATTTAAAATATTTCTAAAATCACAAAATTTATATTTTTAGATGCTGTAGATTATATTATTGCTGGAACTGTTGTTCAAGAATCCAAAACTAGCAACATTGCTAGAGAAGTATGTATTAATTCTAAAATTTTTAGTAACAGATTGTTTCTTTTTTCTATTTAGGTCATTAGAAGTAGGAAGAGAATTACTATGGAGAATTTATCATACAGGATCACAGTTCATTAGTTATGTAGACTTTATTATATAAATTTTTTTTTTTATTTAATAAAGATTTCTTTTTACATTAAAGTCTACATAACCAATGAACTGTGTTTATGTGTGTTAAGTTCTCCATAGCCATTCTGTGTTTACTTCAAAAGATCTAAAATTTTTATTTTTATCAAAACACACAAATCTACTGGTGTGGAATAGTCTAAAACAGGGATCTCCAGCTTTTCCCACGTGAGCTGTAAAAGACAAGTCTGGGGGCAAGGTATGAAAGATAGATGTATATATCTGTAACTTTCTTCTTTAAACAGCAGAAACCAGAATTAACAGACTTTGTTTGAAATGAAGTCAATTAATTCTAGTTGGCTATTCAGAAGTTTACATGCTTTGAACTAATTCAAATGTTCATGATAAATCATGTCAGTGAAAAGAAGTTATGTGGGTTGGAGACCTCTGGTCTAAAATTTGATTTCTTATTAGTAAAAAAATGAAAGAGAAGTGTCTGTTGTCTTTTCTTAACATGAAATAAAAATCAAATGATATCATCTCTAGGAATTAATCTAAATGAAAATAGTAGAGAGTATTTTGGTCAATTAACATTTTATTAAAGTATAACAACTAAATGGATCAGGGAGGAACACTGCTAATTAATGAGTGTACTATTAACTCAAGTTTAAAGTTTCTTAACACATCTGGCAAGTTGCATCTGCTGAAAATGGTGCCGCTATACACCACCATGCACAACAAAAGAGCAGAAAATTCATATTATTGATTTTAAAAATATATTTTGAAGAAGCACTAAATCTTCATATTGAAGAAACACTTTGCCTTCTGTCCTTCTTAAACCTTCAGGAACAACAGTCTCTACAGGCAAAGTCGACCTTTTTATTTAGATTACTCATCCATCCTGTTACGTAAAAACTTTTAAAAAACAGTTCCTATGTGGCGGCCCAATCAATTATTGACTTGTGTTTGAAAATCAAATTTGTGAAACTATGCAAAGTTTAAAAAGCACTATAAATGTAGCCATGCACCAGTTAGAACTTAATTTGTTATGTGAATCAGTATCAGAGTACAGGAATTGTAATTAGTATGCCTAAAGTGGAAGCAAAGTATTGGTGGGATCATTTCTTATACTCTGGCAAGTGTTATTGATTTTCCAATGGAATCAATGTTGTTGTTAAGAGAACATCTTATTCTTTTTATATATATATATATATGCCAGAAATTCTGCTAATAGGTACAGTATACATGTCTATACAATACAGACATATTTAATTATCAATTTTAGTCATATACATGAGATGATTGGACTGATGAGGGTTTATAAGTCCAAAATGCAATTCCAATGCAAATAAAAGCATATGCTTTTTGGATCTGATCTCTGACTCATTTTTCCTGAGGTGCTGGAGTTCCTGCACGCAAATTTTCAGAATAGTGGATTTAGATCTGAATATGGATACAGGTTTTCTTGATTTTCTACTGTTCCAGATCTGTGCAATTTTTTCTTAAAGGTTTTCTTAAGAAAAAAGTATTTGAAAATATTTTAATTAGCTTTATTGAATAATTATTTGAGATGAGTACAATTAGCAACTTACATTATTATATTCACTATCATTTAAAATATCAAATCTTAATGTGAAAAAGATGTTAATTACATTTATTCATAGACGAAATTCGATGGCTGTCATAGTAAAGGCTTGTATCGGATACTCTGAAAGACCTCTGAAAAATCTTTTAGAGTGATCTAGCCTGGATTTCTGGACGTATCCCTAATCGCTTTGCTGCTCTACTGCAGGTTGAATCTATAAAGAGCATGTTAAAGTATCTTCTTGTTGTTTACAAAATAAAAACAATAATAAAAAGTTTATTTGTTACATAGCAGTGTATAGGTGGCCAGATTGCCGAGGCGGTTAAGATGGCAGCCTACCGCTCTGGAGAATCTGGATTGAATCCAAGCGATTCACTCTATGGGGAATTCTTCATGGGCAATCGTTCTGGATATACTGGGTGCTATTCCTCATCATCCTGGTGCTCTTGTTGCAGGCCAGGTCAAACCCATGATGAGTACAATTAAAATGGCCTTCTCTCCACAGGACAGAGACAGAGCCAAAAAGAAAGAAAAACCACATAACAGTAATATAAATGTTTTCATATACAAATATATTTGGTGAGAGGCCATGTTAAGTTTATTTCCATGGAATTATTCTGCAAAGTCAAATTATCATTCAGATAATTTACTTTATGTACTAAAAATATTTAGCAAAATATTTTAACTGTTTGTTATCAGACTACTCTCTCGAATTTGAATGCTTCTGCATTTAGGAAATCATTATAAAATACATCTTTGTGATAACTGTTGTTTAATATTTACTTCTTTTACTGTAGTGTGTGTGCGTGTGTGTGTGTATCGTGTGAGCATCGATTATCCAAATCAATTGGGGACTGGTGTTGTTCAGAAAATTGTGTTTTTGGATAACCGATTAGGTACGAAAAAATATATTAACATATCCCATTTTGAAATTCGTTTAAATCTGGCACATCCTTAAGTACCCTCTCATGGTTGTGCCAGTGCTGCCAGCTAAAACACATACACCAACAAAAATAATATTGGAGTAGCCCAAGACATGGCCAAAAATTTCAGCACCCACCACTAGCGGAAATGTAAGTTTGTTGACTGGAAAGCTTTCGGTTGATCGATATTTGGATAATCGATGCTCTACTGCAGTGATGGTGAACCAATACCCCGCGGTTCAGACACTGACCCACATGTTGATTTTTATGAACTTATTTTTTATATCAAAAGAGAGAACAATCAAAAATATTAAAAATAATATATATATATCTGATGTCAAATTTATTAAAAAAACCAGTCTAAAGGCCCAATGTACATGGTGTCATTCCATGGTATAAATAATAAATTCATAAATTAATAAATTCCTATTACAAATAAAAATAATATACTGATTTATACTGTAAAAATATAAAATAAATATAAAAGAATTTATATTGTTAATTTAAATAATAGCTAGGGATTCCCCTAGTGACCATTTTTGGCATACTGTCACAGAACTGCCCATTTCGATTTTATATAGTAGATATTTCCAAGTGAACATTGGCTAGCTGATTTTCTATCATATCACTGTACTTGTGACAGTTAGTCATAAACTTGATGTGCATACATATTCATTGCATCATAGAATGGGGAGATGTAACAGTGCTGAACTAAACGGCAGCCTTGTCCTATGCATCTGGAAGTGTTTAATAATTCAACATTATTATTATTTTTTCATTATTAAAGTTTCTCATCTACATATGTATGTATATCAAGTACGTTAATAAGAAATTTTTCAAATTGTTGTATTCTAAATATAAATATTTTTAGTTGTAGCCCTGTACTATATCAGCAGTTAAAAAAAATAAAAAACAAACAATACAAGTTCCAGACCATATCAAACAGAATGGTTTGATAAATATGGTATGATTGAAAAGAATAGAACAACTTTGTGTGTAATTTGTAACAAAAAAGTCACTTCATGTACATACAATGTAAAAAGACATTTTGAAAAGTTGCATTCTAATCTCAGCCTTTCAACAGATGAAAAAAGAACAACATATTTTTTACAAAAGAAAAAAGAGAATCATTCACAAATCAGTGTTTTCAAAACTTTTTTGATTCCAGGAAATAACATTACAGCTGCTTGTTTTCAAGTTGCCCATTGCATTGCTTGCCACGGGAAACCTGTTTCAGAAGGAGAGTTTGTAAAGCAAGCATTTTTAGAATGTAGTGCTACTTTGTTTGCAGATTTTAAAGAAAAAGACTTGATTATAAAGCGTATAAATGAGTTACCAATAAGTCGCAATACAAATAAAGATTGAGTAATAGAATTAAAAAGAAATATTTTTTGCAAATACATAACGACTTAAATTATGCAGAAATGTATTCAATTGCTTTAGATGAGAGTAATGATGTAAATGGTTATGCACAATTAGCAGTTTTTGCTCAATATAAAACAGGCAATATAATGAAAGAAGAGCTAATGAAACTAATAATATTGAAAGGGAAGTGTACTGGTCTTGATATTTTTAAAGAATTTGATATTGCATTTAATTAAAGAAATGGATATTGACCTACAGAAAATTGTTTCTGTAACAAGAGACTGTGCACCCAATTTGGTGGGGAAAAAACATTGGTTTTTATTCAGTATCTTAAGCAAAATATTACACATTCTCTGATTGAATTTCATTGTATAATACACCAGCAAGTTCTATGTGCAAAGCAAGGTTTAAAAACATTTTCCAATGTAATGCCAGTTGTAATAAATGTTGTCAACTTTATAAATGCAAGAGGTCTTAATAAATGACAATTTGTACAATTATTAGAGGAAATTGAGTGCCAGTATTCATGGATTTTGACATACAACAATGTTCATTGGCTCAGTTGTAGTCAAGTTCTTTGGTTTGTCATTTCATTAGAAGAAATTAAGATCTTTTTGAATGAAAAAGACAGTAGTTTTGACGAATTTTCAAATATAGATTGGTTAAATGATTTAATGTTCTTATGCAACATCACTCAGCATTTTAATGAACTGAATAAAAAACTTCAAGGAAATGGACAATTGTTTTAATGATGATTGAAAATATTAAAGTATTTATGACGAAACTTGACATCTTTACTAAGGATTTGGAAATGAAAATCATGAAATATTTTCCTCAATTACAAAAACATTTTCAAAACACAATAAGTTTTGAAAATATGCTTGACATTCAAGAAAATGCAATTAAAAATTATTTAATGATATACAGGAAATAAAACAAGCTTTTTATTTCCTGTAGGAAAGATTTAATCAATTTAAAAGTTTGGAAAATACATTTCACTTTATTTTATATCCATACAAAATGGAATTCAAAGCAATGGAGTTAACCGAATTTATGTGGCTTGTTATCCATGATTTAGAAATGGAATTAGTTGAATTTCAAAGCAGAATAGTGTAGAAAAATAAATTTGAAAACTTTATTTCCGAAGTTGAAGGAAAAATGTCTGAAAGTAGTGCAGATAATAATGATCCCACACTAAAAATTGAAATTATTATATTAAACATATGGGATTCTTTACCAAATAATTTTATATCAATGAAGAAACTTGCTATGTTCTTTTAATGATATTTGGGTTCACATATTCATGTGAAAAATTGTTTCTTCAATAAATTTTGTAAAATATACCAATAGAAATAAACTTGGAAATGAATTGACTGCAAATGTGTTAATGAATATGGAATATGAACCTAATATTAAGAAACTCTGAAAATAAACGACGACAGATTTCTCATTAAACATACTTCAACTTTATTATACATACACATACCTGTAACTATATTTATTAATAAATAACATTTCATAATATATATGTGATTTTCATTATTCCTTGTTCATTCAAATACTCGGTGCAGGGGCGACTGTCGACTGGGCATGGTGTCACCTGGTGTAGATAATTCATGGTATCACCCCATTGATATCAATTTTTTGATGTCAACCTTTGTGTTTTGCTCTTCACTTGCAAAAATAAAAGTTGTAAAACAAAAAGGAAATGTAAACTTTTTAGAGGATTTTAAAAGTGCGAACCAAAAAAAATAGTTTTTAATCATCATCATCTCCCCCTTTCCAAGTGACACTACTGACTTAATGACCCACGAGCTAATACTAAAAAAAATAATGAACAAAATTTGACCCACTTCTCAAAAACATTCGCCATCACTGCTCTACTGTATATATATATATATATCACTGTAGATAAAAATATTGTTCTGAAATTTAGTCAGCCGTCATATTATATTGCAACATATTTTTAGTCTTTTAATTTCTGTTTTGAAAATGGAAATTAAAATATTTGTTAATGCAATATTTATAAAATTGAAAATTCAGTTTTTTAAACTATAAAGTTTGTTTTAGGCCGCATTAGCTGCCGGATTTTCAGAACATACTCCCGCTCATACGGTGACTCAAGCTTGTATTTCGTCCAACCAGGCAATTACTACAGGTAATTTTTTAAATCTAATTTAAAACGTCGTCACAATTTCGAGCTACAATTTTAAACATATTTTTTAAGTTTATATAATTTAAAATATATGCTCTCCATCTCAAATTAGTAGTGTCTTGCCCCTGTACATCATACTTTTCCTGTTAGCAATAGAGTCGTGCCGGTCATCTATCCTTTCAGTTGGACATTTTTGAGTCGAAATAATGTGATTTACGATTTTTTCCGAAGTTTGTATACAGTTAATCAGGGCTTTTTGTCCCTGTTCCATATCTGGTTTCGGCTTTCATCTTTCTAAAATCATTCTTGATATTAAGAACGGACAGACAGACAAACGAAAGAAGATATTTATATCTATAATTTCTTTCAAATTGCAGTCCAATAAGTATAAAAAAAATATATAAANTTTTTAATAATTTGAATGTAAGAAAACTAGCTGAGACAATTTCAGTTCGAGTGTCAAGGACCAGTTTAACTGTAGATAATGTTAATAATCTTCATGTCGAGATATGAACTAATTGTAAGCTATTTGAAAAGAATAATTATATGATTATGCTTTAAATTCTTTTATGGAATTTGTAAAACTGGAGGAAATGAATGAAACAACTGTCATGGAAAAACTACTACTAAATAAATTGAGAATGATTCTTTTAGCTAACATTTTAATGTTGTATTTACAAACAAATGTGCTGTTAATTTGACTGATTTTTGATTAGAAAGCTGTTTCACATCTGCTATTTTTGATTAGAAAGCTGTTTCACATCTGCTATTTTTGATTAGAAAGCTGTTTCACATCTGCTTTTACATATTGTTTTATAATTAATCTGCTAGTCCCCTACTGTTATAATTCATTTTAATTGTGCTACTAAGAATTAACTAAGAATAAAGAGTTAATTATAAACTTGTATTTCTTTTTGATGAATTTTTAAGTTTGTCTATAAAGATATATTCTAACTTGATTGATTTTTTTTTTTTTTTAATCTTAGAAAATTTTATTAACAATTTATCAAAGTTTCAGTCCAAAATAAATTGAGAAATGTTCATTTTTGTACAGTTGTATTGTATGGATCATCTGTAATGGATCCTATTCACAGCGGAATCTGTTGATTACAAAAATTTTTACCTTTTCAAGTTGTAAAAGAATAAATCAAATCCTTTGGCTGAAACAGTACTAAATATTTTAAAAGTAATTAAGATTAATTCTTTAGAAAACAGATTTAATTAAATGTGTACAACTTTATACTTGAATTTCTGAACATTTAATTTTACTAAATGCTGATATTTTATACGAATTATTTCTGTATAATTTCATGTGAACAGTATAAATGTGCTGGTATTTATAACTGTTAATTTTCTCTTTCTTAATTTATTGAAATAATGATTTTAATATATTTCTTATTTAGCAATGGGACTTCTCGGAACGGGCCAGTGTGAGGTGGTGATTGCCGGAGGTGTCGAATTTCTATCTGATGTACCCATTCGATTCAATCGTTCCATGCGTAAATTTATGTTGTCGGCAAATAAGGCCAAAACACCAGCAAAAAAATTAAATATGCTTCTTAAATTTAGACCAAAATTTCTTGTTCCTGAAGTAAGTAAAATATTTTATTTAAAAGTTTGTCAATGAAATATTTGCTACTTGTTTGACATGCACTATATAATACATCCAAAACATTTAATAAAAATTTGATTTATACTGTTTTTTAAAAATGAAGAAAATAGTTATGCAAATATTAAAATTTGAACAGTGTTCATTTATTAATGAACAGATAAATTTAAGATTAAAAGCAAAATTTGTGATTATTTTTTGATTTTATATTTTTATAGATTAAAGATATTCAATGAAAACAAATAGCTAAAATAACTTGTTTTTTATGTTTTGTTTTAATGGCTACTGAAAAAATTTTAAATTTTAATATCTATTGCCTGAAATAATTTGAGTTTAAATGAGGACAAATTGGTTTAATTTTTACAAAATATGAACAAAAATTTATAGTTTACTTTAAAAAAAACTTCAGAAAATCAATGCTTTAATCTTCAAAAATCAAACGGATGCATTTTCTTGTGACAAGTTGCTTGATTTAGTTTTGTATCAAATTGAAATTAAATTTCTTTACAATATCCATATATATATATACACACTAGCTGTTACCCGTGGCTTTGCTTGCACAGATTTTGCAAGCAAACCCTATTTACATTCAATATTTCAACAACCATAGTAATTAAAGATAGTATAGCACAACTACAAACCTACTTAAAAGCAAATAACATAGATATCATAAAAGCAGATAAATCCAAGCAGATTATCATAGTGAAACAGGAATGGATCCAAACCAAAAAATCAGAAATAGTTAATAGCGAGCCTTTCAGAGAACTACCAATAGACCCAAAAGAAATCATTTATGTTGAACTCAAAAAACGAATAAATAAGCAATTTCAACTAAAAAACATAGAAAGAAAAGACAAACAGTATATTCTAGCAAACGAAAATAGCAGAACTCCTAAGCTAAACATACAACTAAAAACACATAAGCCAGGCGAACAAATAAGACCCGTCGTCGACTTCAAAAACTCAACCCTATATAATTTAGAAAAATACTTAAAACGTGAATTACAAAAGTACAATAATTCAGAATACTCCATCAAGCACGCAGACGAACTTATACATGACATGAAAAATATAAAAATGAGCAAAAATTACAGACTCGCAAGCCTAGATATAATAAACATGTACCCTTCGATAACCTGGAACCTAATAGAAAGTACACTAAAAAAGATTGAAGCAAAGGAAGAGGTAATGGATCTAATAGAATTCGCATACAGGAGCAACTATTTCGAAGTCAACAATAAGTTCTACACGCAACGGACAGGCATAAGCATGGGATCAGTTATAGGACCGAAGCTAGCAGAACTTGTCATGGTAGATATAGACCAAGCAATCAAAAAGTTTACAGGCATAAAGTTCTATAAACGATACGTGGATGACATAATTATACTATACGACCAAGAATTAACAAAATTAGAAGAAATAGAAGAAAAAATAAACAAATTAAACGATAACATCAAATTCAAGGTAGAAAATGAGGCAAACACAGAAATAAATTACCTCGACATAAAAATAATCAGGAAAGAAAACAGGATCGAATTCGAGCCATACACAAAACCATGCGAGATCAGGAAAGTGCTAAACTACAACTCAAACATCCCGCAGTACATAAAAGAAAACATATTCATCATGGAATATAAAAAGATCGAGAACAGAACAAGCTCACTACCGACGAAGGAAAAACACCTCAACGAACTACGAACAAAATTCCTACTAAACGGCTATCCAAAACGAATGCTAAACAACTGGGAAAGGAAAATGAACAACAAAAGGCTGGTAAATAAACAAAACGAAAGAAACACCGTAAGATACATACCCTTCCCTTACATCCGTGGCTTCTTTGAACAAGTAAACAAAAGCTTTGAAAAAATAGATATAAAGCTAGCCCCAACCTATAACAACCTGCAAAAAAGAATCCGGAAGACTGTACCCGACAGAAATAAACAACCAGACAAATACAGCACTACCGAAGTCGTCTATAAAATACCTTGCACATGCGAACCCCCAAAAGTATACATCGGTGAAACAAAAAGAAAATTAGAAACAAGACTAAAAGAACACATCGCAGACCTGAAGTATAACAGAATCAACTCAGTTTTTTACGAACACTGCACGACCCACAACTGCAAAATAGATAAAAAGGATGCAACAATAGTACACAAAGAAAAAAATTGGTACAAAAGGAAATTCAAAGAAAGCTACGAAATTACTATAGACAAAAATAATATTAACAAGAACCTTAGCATCGACATCCATAAAAACTGGCTTCAATTATTAAAATAAAATAGAATGTTTATACAGTCGCAGGCGAGGCTGTGTGCAACACTCGGAGAAGGGTAATGTTACAAATTACGAGGCATGCGGGGGAGTCCGTCAAGTCGGGAAAAAAGAGGGGAGGGGAAGGGAGCGGGAAGTACGGACACACAAGTCACAACTATCGACGTAACAGACTGAAGAGGGGCGAAAGCCCGAAACGCGTTTCTGTAAGAAGTAAATGTAGGTGATGGAATTATTTGCCAAGTGTCTATAAATGCACCAAGTCGTGACATAGAATCAGAAGAAACAAGAAAAAGAAGACACGGTTTCGACAAATAACTAAAACCATAGTAATTGTTATTTAACAACAACTGCTGAGAATCATGAGAATTGAACAAACTGTTTTTATTTGATAAATTTTCTGGAACACTTACAATCGTTCTATAATCGAACCAACATGCAAAAAGAAATTTTAATTTAAAACGGTTCGAACATTTGGTTAAAAAATTGAAATATATAAAAAATATTTATAACAATGTCTGAAATGTTATCAATTTAATACCCCTAAGTTCTCAATGAAGACTAAACGTAATTAAAAACAAAAAAATCACATCTAAAATAGTAAAATAGTACAGTAAAAGCCTTTCTTCAGGTTAAGCCTTAATCCTCTCCCTCTCCCCTCTGCTGGGAAATTTCAAAAAATCCCTTCTTAGTGTGCGTTTTCATGACGTACCCTAACTGTGTACCAAATTTCACCTCTATGTTCTGAAACTTTCTAGAAAATTTCTTATTGAAGCGTCACACATTTTCGAAGTCAACCCCTTTCAAACCCCATATCTCTCACACACTTATAGCTATCGAGATGCAACCACCATAGTGCATGATGGGAGACTTGGTGCTACTACCACACACAAACATCATTCATGTGCGATGTGTAGTTTTGGCTGCAGAGTGACGTATAGACACAAACACGTCCATTTATATATATATATAGAGCAGATTGAATTTTATACAAATTACATTGTGTATTTAAAAAAACGCATTGTAAAATTTGTAATATAACTCTAAGCTCAGTTAACTGATCAATGACTATATTATATACTCTTCTGAAAACTGGAAAGAAATTTAATATTAATTAGCACAGAAAAACCATAAGAAGCCAGCAAAATAAACTAACAAATGTTTTCAATCATCTTAAATGGTTATCTTTGGGTTAATTGATGAATTTGAACAAATTTTAAATATAAGCAAATACAAACATGACTGATTGCAATGCCACACACACTATATTATAGAGAAGTGTCAATTTTCAAAGTAAATTTAATGCCCATTGACCACACAATTGTCTATGGTTAGAGTTGTGCTTTGAGAACCGGGTTCGATTAGGACAATAAATCAAACGTTTAACAGTGCCAGGTTGGTGAAACCCACTCACACTGTCACTGGATGGCTATAGGAGGGCTATTAGTTACGAGTGGGGAGTGTGATAGATATGTTGATAGGGTGTCCGATATTTAATTAACATAAGCATTCAATTCCATTTTTACAAACAGAAAGGTATTTAATAAACAAATAAAAGTTCAAATGTAAATGGATATATACAAAGTAACTAATAGAGCATTGACTTATTGACTTAGCTAATTAAAATACTATTGCTATATAAACGAGAGAGAGTTTACAATAAATATTAGCATAATACCTCAATTATACGTATGTCCTCAGGAGGTGGAAATTGGGAACCCGAGATCGGACATAATATCAATACAGCTAGCCCTCGGTTTACGCTGCAGTTCTGTTCCTACAAAAACCGGCGCAAATCGAATCGGCATAAAACGAACCCATATTTACACTGAGGTATAGGGTTAGGTTCCACATAAGTGAAAAATATGCAAATATTTTTGTTTATTAATTCAATATAATACAAAGTACAAATAAATTTAATTTTTAAAATGTATTTTATCATAAAATAAAGTTAAATGTTTTTATTTAAAAATTTTAGTTTTGGATCTCTTACATTTTTCGGGAAAAGTATCCATCTTTAATTGTTTACATTTTTGTATTCTTTCATTGAGAATTTCAGAATATGGTCAAATGGATGCGACGATGCTCCTTTTTACATTCGCACTTCGCTCCCAATCATTGTCTAACTCACAAAGTTCAACCGTCAAACTTTCCATAGTCGAAAGGATACGTTAACCCGACGTAGAGCTACGGACGAGCGGAGACACCGATTGGTTGACCACCAGTCGCCGTAGCGCATATGTAAGGTCAGTTTGAGCGGGAAAATTAAGGAAAGATAGATATCGTCTGGCCAACGAGATGTAGATTTGTCTCACTAACGATAGTTTGTGATCGGCGGAAGTGCTACTGCATCGTAGGGTGTTTTCCCGAACGAACTGATACGGGATAAATTCAATGGCGCTATGGATTCGGACGCCATTTATTGGACTATTAAGTTTGATAACTTGACTCGTGGGTACCTAAACGTTTAGTATTTTAATATTAATTTAATGCAAATGTATACACACCCAATAATATTAAACAGAAAAAATAAATATATTCAATAAAAATTTTTGTTTTAACAAATGTACAATGTTGCGGCTCGGTAAATACGTCAACACTGAAACAAAAATCAGTCTGGCATAGGAAAAATCGGGGAATTACACAGCAAAATCGCGAATTGTGCAGCGGCGTTATTGTGAATCGGTGTAAATTGAACCAGAGTAAACCGAGGGCTACCTGTATATGGCAACTTCTTTAAACTTATGTGCCCTGAGTTTGGCATGTAAACTGTTTTTATACTAATACTCTCTTCCAATGAGAATTAAGTATTTCCACCATCTGACAGGATGTCAAAATGAGTCTTATTTAGTCATAGGAGAGAGAACGATCTCTCTCAGGAACTAACAGTCAAAAAGGAAATGTTTGTTCCTTGTTCTCCTCAACTATAAAATAAAAGTTTTGAATTTAATATTGAAATATTATATTGATTTAAATTCTTATAAAATACCAATTCAATATTCAGATTCTCACAGGTGGGGTTAATCAACTTTTATATTTTATAGGAGGACCTCCAAGCCAGACTTAGAGACTATCTGACTGGCTTGGAAGTTGTTCTATAATAAATCATAAACATTTGATTTATCATTGGGCATTAAATTTACTTTGAAATATCTACACTTCTGTAAAATATGTTGTATGGTATTACAACCAATCATGTTTGTATTTTGTTAAATGTTAAATTTGTTGTGGAATAACTCAAAAATGGCCAGTTTAGATAATTGAAAATGTTTATTTTGTTGGCTTTTTATAGTGAAATTTATGGTGATTTATAGCATCTCATTAAAGTTTATTAACATTTTATTAAATGCAATACACCAGGGATCGGCAACTTTTCAGTGGTGTTGTGCCGAATGTAAGTTATAGTGTTATTCTGAGTGCCGACATGATTCTATCAAGTTTGTTATATATGTTATCAAAATTAGTTTGGTTATAACAGACTTCAAAAATGTAATTTTGAAGTTAATTGTTAATTGAATTATGTTCTTATATGTGAAGTACTTGCATAACATACAAATGGCGACAGGGAGCATAAATGCATGCGCTGTAAGATACAAACAAGAGATTCGTTTTTAATGTACCACAGCCTATGCTGAGCTATGACTTCCATTTAAATGTGTAATTAATAATTAAAATATAATTTTTTTTACATTTCTATTCAATTGGAGTGCTACTGAAAATTGGTCCGTGTGCCATAGGTTGATGACCCCTGCAATACACAATATTTTATATTTTATTGCTATAAATTTTTCTGTAGTAAAAATTTTATTGATCTTATGATTTTATTTAATTTTTATAATCTTATAAATGGTCAGAATTATAATTTGTTTAGTCTGTAATATTGTTATACATCACTAAACACAAATTTAAAATAGTTTGCTAAAATACTATTATAATTAATAAGTTATGTTTCATTAATTTATATTTAAAATTATTTTTAAAATGAGAAATTATATCAAACTGTACAAATTTTAATTTTTACATTAAGTTGCCATCCATATCGGAATTTTCATCGGGAGAGACAATGGGCCATTCTGGAGATCGTCTTGCCGCAGCTTTTGGAGTTTCTCGAAGAGAACAAGATGAATATGCCATACGTTCTCACACCTTGGCAGCCAAAGCTAGTAACGAAGGTCTTCTTTCTGATGTGGAACCAATTACAATTCCCAGTAAGATTTCTTAATGGCATTATATATACAGTACATCCTGGGTTTAGAGGGCAAATGTCTTGTCCTGGCATAGTAGTAGAAATTTTTATGTATTTTTGCTCCAAAACCTTTATTAAGAGGGTTGTACAATGAATTACATATTAATCATTAACATTATTTAAAAATTATCATGTTTATCTTTATCTTCATTTTACCATTATTTTATAGAATAGTGTTCTTAAACTTGTGTTCTTAAACTTGTCAAATGAAGTTTCACAATTCTATTTTAATGTATTACTGTGATACTCACTGCATCAAGCATTGGTAGATTGCTATTGGCATTTTTTTTGCATGACAAAAGACATTAAGAAACTTGAACTTTAAAGAAGGAAATAATAATGAGAATAGAATGAATCATGTAATGGAAAAATTGGCAGACATTCTGCTTGGGAAGTCTAGATACAGTAGTAGGTATGGTTTTGAGTTTCACTTTAGGCCATATCTTTTATATATTTGCAAATTAATTAATTTCTGATTATTATATAATTTAGTAGAAAATAGTGTTTAACCTGTCCTGGGTCATGACTTCTGACTTTGACCAGTTGACCCAAGATATCTCGTTTGGAATGTTTTTGAAACTAGATGTTGCTAGTCGTTATAATTTTTATATTAAAACTAACTTTCAAAATATAATTTTTTTGGTTATTACATTTATTAATATATCTATTTTGTTTGTGCAAAAAATAATTTCAAAGGAAACAATAGCCACAATTATTCTTTTCAAAAACGTAATTTTTGTTAGGCTTAACATCGACAAAAATTCAACATGGCGTCACACGCAACAGAGAAAACTTTGAACATACGATAGGTTAAAACTTCTAATGCAAATTTTTGTTTAAGTGATAATTGGGTAAAAATAGCATTTTGATTTTCACTGTTCTCTGGCATTTCTGAGTCCCATTCTTACACTTTGAGTTACAAAATGAAAACCTTGAATATTGTAAAAATGTGGTAATTATTTTTACAGGCACCATTCAACCTCTCATCCCAAGAGTGTCTGCTAAACTTAGGTTCTACTGTGTGTGTATGCATGCATAATATCTGTAAATAACATTTAAATGTAATATTTTTCATTGGTAGATAAAGACAAACCGATAGAAAAAGATAATGGAATACGTATTTCTACATTTGAAGAAGTTTCTAAACTAAAACCTGCATTTATTAAACCTCATGGAACTGTCACTGCTGCCAATGCTTCATTTTTGGTAAGTCTTACTGTCTTTGAAAATACGACTTCATTTACAATATAAAAGCTTAAAAAATAACTTTCTCAATTTGAGATGAAATAACAATAGTTCAGGATGTCTAAAAAGTTGTTGTGCAGTGGAAAAAATTTAAGTGAAGTTTTAATGAAAATGAAATTTTATGTATGGTACTGAAGTTTCTCCTAAAGTGAATGCTGGAAGTTTCTTCCAGAGGCCCATTGCCCACCAGTGACTGAGCGGATAAAACCACTGAACACTGGCCATGTGGAGTTTTCTGGGTTTTCTTCATTTAGGTTACCTAATTAGAAGGTAACCTAACACTTTCCTATAAAAGTCCTCCAGGGAGACATTCCCCTTGGCAGATTGTCCATGTGTTGTGTTGCCATATACAAATAAAACCAAATCCCCGGGGCCTCAAAATCTGGATGAGTGAGGTCTGGAGATTTAGTGGGCCAGATTCCACAGGTGATTGTGATTGGCAAAGAAGTCTTCTATAAACTGGAACATCTGTGAGTGAGAAGTGATGCCATTTATTGCAAGGTGGAAATGTGGGACATAGAACTTGAAGGTCTTGTATGCAATACAGTATGTATAACTTTAACATCATTACAAATTTCTTGCTGCATAGTAACTTTTTTGACTTTGTATAATAATTTAATTATAGAATTAATGTACTGTGAGTATTTGAATTTTCAACATATAAATTAATTCGAAAAGGTTTAACAAAAATAATCAAATATATTTCTAAATGACATTTGTTCTTATTTGACCGATTCTTTTATAGAAAAGAAAAACTGGAATAAATTCTTTCAATAAACTTGTACTTGATAATTTTCTTAGGAAAAGATAGAAATTGTTGTAGGAATGTCAAAGGTGTATGAAAATTTTTTTAAAAATTGTCTATGTGGACTTATTGGATAATAGGACAATTATACTGGAGTATTAGTTATCAATGCAAGGAGGAGTTCGTAATCAGAAAAATCAAAAAATCTTTATCACCTGTAGTAAAAACTGTATTTCTGTACACAAAACATACGTGTTTTGGGCTATTTGGCCCCTCTTCAGTAGTGTTGCTACCATAACATTCTAAAAATATATATTACAATAAATAAATAGATAAAATTACAAAAAATTCCTGACAATAAAACATTAAATAAAAAACTTAGAATTTTTGTATCCAATTACTTCAAGATATGCTATGCATAAATCATACATAGAAGTATTATTTTAAGTTTGCACAAATACATGTTGCTATATTAAAACAAAGGGAAATTTAAAATTATATCTCTAAAAATTACAAATAAATATCACAAATTTAGCAAACTTACTTAAATGATGTTCTCATGAATCTAATAAATTAGCCGTCACTTAATTCTTCCGTCTATTTATACCCCTTTGCTTTTGGTTTATGTTATTAATTATGCTCTGCCATGATTGGTGGATTTCATGTCCTAAGTTGTTGTTAATTCTATTGCTTTGTCTTTTTATATAGATATGTTTAACATTATTGGTTTCTTTTTTATTTATTTTGATTGTGTTTAAATTTATTTCACATCTGTTATTATTACAATGTTCTACTACTGCAGAATTTGCATAATTTCCTTTTATTGCCCATATATGTTGTTTTATTCTTAATTTCCTTTTAGTTTCACCTGTGTGTGTTTTTTACTGGATTACAATCAAAAGAATAAACCACCTCTTTTTCTTCCATTATATCAGTTTTTTGTCCGATCTGTGATATAAATATCTCTTAAATAAATCATTCTTTTCTGATATTAAATTTACTTTTCTATTTAAAACTGTTTTTACTCTTTCAAAAAGTTTAGGTATATAGACTAAATTTATATATTTTTAATCATATGCTTTATTTATATTTTCATTACTAGTTATCCAATATAGCCATTTTTCAAGTAATTTTTTTTGATAGCTGTTAAATAAAAACATCTTTATAACTTGTTCTATTTCAATTTGTTGATTTTCTAAGTTACTTGTTCTATTTTTAATTTTATCAATATAAATTTTAAAAATATTAAATTTCATAGTTGCTGGCACATTTGATTTATAATTAAGAACTTTTGGTATTTGCATAGGTTTAACAAATTTTCTATATTCAAATTTATTTTCATTTCTTTTGATGGTTATATCTAAGTAATTAATACTATTAGTCCTTTCCTTCTCGATGTCAAATTGTATATTTTTCTCTATTAAGTTGGCTTGTTGTAAAATTAATTCTTCATTTATTTTTCTACTATCAAATATAATGATACAATTGTCTACATACCTATTATAAAATTCTATTCCTTCTATGTTTTTAATTTTTTCATCTATATGTATCACGAAAATCTCTGCTAGTCTTGGGCCTATGCGTGTTCCCATTGGTATTCCATTAATTTGAGTGTAAACTTTTCATCATACTGAAAATAATTATTTTTCATTACTAACAAACATAATTTAATTATCTGGAGCTTGTATTTTTTCCAATACAGAAAATACAGGCTCCAGAGAAAAGTTTTCTAACAATTTTATCTATTTATTTATTGTAATATACATTTTTAGAACATAGTGGTAGTAACACTGCTGAAGAGGGTCCAAATAGCTCAAAACACATATGTTATGTGTACAGGAAAAGCTACTATAGGTGATAAAATAAAGATTTTTTTGATTTTTCTGATTATGAACTCCTTGTGTTGATAATTAATACACTGGTATAATTGTTCTATTAATCCAATAAGTACACGTAGACAATTTTTTAAAAATAAAGTATGATTAAGGACAGTAAGGCAATTAAATTTATGTATGAAAATTATTGCATTATATTGATGTTAAGATAACTTTTTAGCTAAAGTAAATCTATAAATATGGTTTATCAAATCTATAGTGAAAATATGCTAAATTCCATTAGCATAATCAAAATTTATTTTATGTCTATCCAAGTGTTTGATATGATTTCAAACATTAGATCTTAATGCAAACATTATTGTGTTTGAATTTTGTCATCTGCAAATCTTTTTTAGTTATGTAATTTTCAGCCAATGTGGAAGCTGTTTTCACCGCTCATCTTATGTTTTCTAACAGTTTCAATGTTTGTTTAGAAAATTTTTTTTTATTCAGAATTTATTTTGATATCCCTTCTTTTGTTAATTTTCTACACAAATTCCTAGTTTAGATATCAGTATTCTTATTTCAAGAAACTTGCAATTTTTTAAAAAGACTGTTTGTTTCTAGACTGATGGTGCATCTGCATGTCTTTTGATGACAGAGGAGAAAGCATTAGCCCTAGGTTTCAAGCCAAAAGCATATTTGAGGTAAATTTAGTGAAGGTAAATTTATATTACATAATTATTATTAGTATTAAAAACAATAAATAATTTTTTCAGAGACTTTATTTATGTTTCTCAAGATCCTAAAGATCAGTTGTTATTAGGGTATGTCAAAATTTGAAGTCTTATTTTAGTTTTTACTGTGATAAAATATCAAAAAGTTCTTTGCAGACCCGCTTATGCAACACCCAGACTACTAAACAAAGCTGGTCTTTCGTTAAATGATATAGATGTGTTTGAATTTCATGAAGCTTTTGCCGTAAGTATTCTAATTTGTTTTACTGATTGTCGATTCAAATAGTTGTTAATCTAAGTGAATATAATGATGAATTTATTTTCAAATTATATGTGAAATACTAAATCTGCAGCTCTCATTAGTTTTGTATTGCTTGAAGGCTATATTTTTATTATGAAACTTGAACTAGAGATAATTAGTGCTGCCATTTTGTGAAGTAATTAATGTATCTTATAAAGATATTTTGTGTGATAACTCGTCTGTATTGAATTTCATTTACTGGTGTTTCTCTTAAAAATAAAAATATTCAGAGTGTATTTTTGGACCTAAATCTGATGACATGCCTTGAATACTTCCAGAACTCTCCATAGATTTTGTATTCATTGTTCTGAGAATGTTTAAGAGTCAAAGTTACTTCTCACCTGGTACTGGTCCAATTTACTTAATATAAACACACATAAAAACCTTTACTTGACCAGTAAAAATATATTTAATGAAAACAACAAACGTTTTCGACCGCCTTCCTCAGTCTTCCTCAGGTTTTAAATTCTGATATTCGAAAATCGTTGTGCTTAAATATTTAAACATTTTGGAACATATACATCTTTGCGAATAAAATTCATTACGCGCATGCGTATTAATCATTACGTACGTGAACCCAAATATTCACAAATATTATTTTACATATACATGTAAACGATGTATAACACCTTACATAGAGTTGTGGGGGCATTCTGCTTCATACGCAAACCTCCAAGCTGCCGAAATATTAATAGCATCTTTATAGTTGATNTTTATAAAGCAGGATTACGTAATAGCTGTATCAACTATAAAGATGCTATTAATATTTCGGCAGCTTGGAGGTTTGCGTATGAAGCAGAATGCCCCCACAACTCTATGTAAGGTGTTATACATCGTTTACATGTATATGTAAAATAATATTTGTGAATATTTGGGTTCACGTACGTAATGATTAATACGCATGCGCGTAATGAATTTTATTCGCAAAGATGTATATGTTCCAAAATGTTTAAATATTTAAGCACAACGATTTTCGAATATCAGAATTTAAAACCTGAGGAAGACTGAGGAAGGCGGTCGAAAACGTTTGTTGTTTTCATTAAATATATTTTTACTGGTCAAGTAAAGGTTTTTATGTGTGTTTATATTAAGTTTAAGAGTCATTTAATCACTGAGACTTAGTGTTTTGAAAGATTTTTGGTTGCAAGAAATGAACAAACATCTTAATTTGGAGTTATATGCTCTTGAGAAAGTGATTTATCAGAACAACTTAATTATTACATTTAATTGTAATATTTTTGGCCTTATGATTATATACCAATGGCCCTTGACTTCTGGACTTAAGCATTTGTAAAAAGCATAAATTTGTATGAAAGTCAAATGCCCGAAAGTTGAGTAATAGATTTGCATAATATAAAAGTGATTTCTTTCTGAGTGACCTAAAAAGAAAACTATAAAATCTCTTAAAGTAGGAAATGCTCTATTTTTATAGTGAAACTGTATGCAAAAAGTGTAAACATTAACTAAGTACATATTTAAAATGTTAAAAGTACTAATTAACCATATAAAAATCATTTCTAAAAAGAAATTTTTTGTCTGTTTTATGTATCAAAGCCTTCATACAACAGCTTGAAATTTTTATTTGTTGGCCAAAAAACATACAAAAGAATGGATTGTTCAAAAGTAGAGGACCACTTGTAATTTACTCATATCATACATTCACTATCACAACCATTCCTTTCAATACAATTTTATATCTTTATACTTTAAATTATTATAACAAAATATTTCATTCATTCATTTTGGCTACCAAAGTACTGCCATGGTTTTATTTATCAAAAGTATTTTACTTTCAGTGCTTTTTAATCAACAAAACATAAATTTAACTGCTTGTAGTCAATTAAATTTGTTTCAAGATCTATATAACTTTTTTAATCTGTAATTTCCTTTTGTTAATAAACTATGCATTTAATTAAAACGATTGCAAATTAATAAAAGCATCGCTTATAATTCTTTTAAATATAAATACATCCAGTGATTTATAATTGATAATATGGGCAAAGATAGCTTTTTTTAATATCATGTGTGGATTATCTATAAACTTGGCAATAAATCAATGGTGTTTTAGTATTGACACTTTTTATATATTTAATTTATTAATTAAATCCAAATAATTTGATAGTAACTCTCTCATAAACTGCTACTTGTCAACAATATTTGTAAGTACAATCTCCTATTTATAGATTTTGTGGTATTTTTAAGAAACTTTTGAAATGCATTCAAATTAAAGGTTTAAAATAATTAGTGTAAATATTTATAATTAATAAATATGTATTTTTTCAGGGTCAAATCTTAGCAAATCTGAAAGCTTTGGATTCGGATTGGTTTGCAAAAAATTACATGAAGTTACCTTCAAGGGTAAGTAATAATTTATTATTATTGATTAAGTATTTTAATTATAATAAATGCAAATTGTTGATGTGTGTATTTATTCTTTAATGTTATGCATACTATTACAATTCATCCTGTTTTATGTGAATGATGTGACGTAAGAAATGTATAATTTACTACTTTCTACTATTTTTGTTAACACATTTTAGTAATTTGTGCTAAGTAATATTTTATTACCTATCTCATTTGTATTCATTCTATTTAAAAAATAGTGATTTAGGAACTTGAAACTTTTTAGATGGTTTCAGAAATAGTCTAATTTTAGTCGGAACAATAAAATTAAAAAATAAATTAAATCCTTTAAATACGATAAATTTTTTAATATTTTGAATGTTAAAGTTTTTACATGTAGTTCCTGCTTTATTGGACCAACAGACCACAGAAATTTCAAAAAAGTATCTAGTGCTTTTTTGAAATTTCTTTGTTCTAATAAAGGTAAAACCACATGTATACTTCAATTGGGTATAAGTGCAAGTTTTATTTGTTGAAAACAGAAGATTAATATTGATTTTATTAAAGTCGTTGTTTACAAATTATTTTGCAGAGCACATTGACAAGAAGTAATTTTCAATATCTACTAGTGTTATCTCCTTTGTACAAAATATCACAGATGCGATATTTCTGTAGAAGTGTCAACTAGTTATTGTTCAAAAACTAGCTGACATACCCGACAATGCTCAAGTTATCTTAAAACATCGAAAACTAGGTGCCCTTTTGTTACTTGACTATTTAATCACAGTGACCAAACTGTGACTCTTTTAGACCCTTATTATGGCTCCCATATACTTACAGAATTTCTTTTTATAAACTCGGTATTTACTACCTACTTATGTGTAATATTTTTTTGTAAGTTTACTTATTATGTAGTGTGATGTGCACACAGATTATGAGACTAATGTTAGACAATAATGAAAACAGATAGACACTATTTCAATTCGTGGATGTGAAAATTCATGTTGACCAAGTTGGTGGTTGGACGAGTGCTATATTTTACAGAGTGCATTAGTAGTCAGTTTTATTTCGGACACACATACGTTGACACAGATCTTGTAGATTGTGATGCACTGTTTTTTATTGAGTATGAAAGTATTTAAAAAAAAAATGATCATGTCCATTTGATTGTAACAATCTTCCTTTTTCTTATCTCTCTTTATAAAGTTCAAATGAAGTTTCTCACAATTCTGGTCCCTCACTAATTTGTACGATCAATTTTTTTTTTTTTAATATCAATGTGCATTTTTTTAAAATATGTAGGTACTGTGCAGCCTTCGGCAGGAATGATGCCGACCCGGCACTTTCTTGAAATAATGTTACCATATCTGTCATTTTTCACGCTTGTCTGATGATTAACTATGTATCTATAAAATGCTGTTCCAAGAGGATGTGGCTGTCTCATATTTCTGATAGTTGACATGGTTCCTATTGTAGCAAAGTTTGGTCACTTCTGCTATATACCAGTCAGTCTCATTAAAAGTTTGAATGTTTGAATGTTTCTTTGTTAATTACACTTTAGTGTTCTTAAATAGCCATATTTTCTTATGATGTGCAGCATCAACGAATTTTGCCATCTTTCTTCGGAACCTCTCTTGGTAAAATCAGTTTTGTTTTATTTATGTATATTTGCATAGATTTGTTCTACCTTACTTTATAGTTATATTTGCAAAAGTTAAAAATTTCTTTTGAATGATGATGAAAGTAATTCTTAATTGCATAATCCACAACAAAACAATTTAAAGTGATAATTAATTTTTAAAAAATATTGAGAATAAATAATAATAATAATAATAATTGTCTGAATACTTTCAAAATATTCATGTGCCAATGTGTTTCATGCTGGAGGTGATAAATTATTGGTGTTTGGATGAAGAGATGCCGACAGACAAATTTAGCCAGTTATACATTGCTTTTTAAATCACATGTTTCTTGATAATTAACTTGTTTGATTTATTTATTGTTTTCAAAATGGAAGTAACTGAACATGAAATTAAATGTGCTATGATATTTTTTGTGGCCGATTAGTGTGTAGGCAGAAATGTTGTGGAACGGTTTGGAAGAATGAACTTCTAATGTCATTCGTAAGAAATTTGTGGGCTTTCTCAAAGTTTTCTATAAAGTGAGTTTGTGAGAAAGTATATCGACTCAAAAATATTGACAATGTAAGGGATGACGAGAAATCTGCTAATTTTCTACATCTGAAACAAGATGATAATTGAGAAATCAAGTGTAATGGTGATCTAACCCCACTTTTTTAAGTCTAAATATTGTACCATAAAGTTGACACATTCTAGTTTTTCACATTTTATACTCAATTTGAACTCTAGTAACCAGAGATGATATATTTAATATACAAAAGTACAGTACAACACCATTAGCTCTATTTTGATATCAGAGAGGGTTAAACCACTCTTGTACTCGGCCTTTCGATTGTAACTACTTGTCTTTAAATGGTAGTTAATTAAAATTTATTTAAAAGTAACAGAATTCTGTAACTTTTTATTTTTAAGAACATATTTGAAAATATTTTAACTTGCATAAATTCTAGGTGGGTGTTCCCCCTCTGGAAAAATTTAACACCTGGGGTGGATCTCTGTCCATCGGCCATCCATTTGGAGCCACGGGAGTGAGACTGGTGGCCACCGCTGCAAACAGACTCATCAAGAATGGCGGCCAGTTTGGATTGGTGGCAGCCTGCGCTTCCGGCGGTCTGGTAAGTACTAATGTCAGTCAATGATTTTAAATGTTTTTCACCAGTAAATAGCCCGCCAGAGTTTAATCTTGGACGTAACTTGGTGTAAATAAAAATTATGAAATCAAAAACCATTGCATTTTTAACAGAAGTATAAAACGATATAGAATTTTGTCTTTTCAATTTATAATTTAATTAAAATACTGTTTAAACCTTGGCAAACTCAAAAACAAACAAGAGTAATCTGTGGATTTGGTAAATGAAAGCAAGTTTCAATGCATTAAAGTATTACACTAGTCGACAAATTTTAATTTTATTCATGTAATGTGATGAAAATTTAATAAATATGTATTTTTTCAGGGTCAAATCTTAGCAAATCTGAAAGCTTTGGATTCGGATTGGTTTGCAAAAAATTACATGAAGTTACCTTCAAGGGTAAGTAATAATTTATTATTATTGATTAAGTATTTTAATTATAATAAATGCAAATTGTTGATGTGTGTATTTATTCTTTAATGTTATGCATACTATTACAATTCATCCTGTTTTATGTGAATGATGTGACGTAAGAAATGTATAATTTACTACTTTCTACTATTTTTGTTAACACATTTTAGTAATTTGTGCTAAGTAATATTTTATTACCTATCTCATTTGTATTCATTCTATTTAAAAAATAGTGATTTAGGAACTTGAAACTTTTTAGATGGTTTCAGAAATAGTCTAATTTTAGTCGGAACAATAAAATTAAAAAATAAATTAAATCCTTTAAATACGATAAATTTTTTAATATTTTGAATGTTAAAGTTTTTACATGTAGTTCCTGCTTTATTGGACCAACAGACCACAGAAATTTCAAAAAAGTATCTAGTGCTTTTTTGAAATTTCTTTGTTCTAATAAAGGTAAAACCACATGTATACTTCAATTGGGTATAAGTGCAAGTTTTATTTGTTGAAAACAGAAGATTAATATTGATTTTATTAAAGTCGTTGTTTACAAATTATTTTGCAGAGCACATTGACAAGAAGTAATTTTCAATATCTACTAGTGTTATCTCCTTTGTACAAAATATCACAGATGCGATATTTCTGTAGAAGTGTCAACTAGTTATTGTTCAAAAACTAGCTGACATACCCGACAATGCTCAAGTTATCTTAAAACATCGAAAACTAGGTGCCCTTTTGTTACTTGACTATTTAATCACAGTGACCAAACTGTGACTCTTTTAGACCCTTATTATGGCTCCCATATACTTACAGAATTTCTTTTTATAAACTCGGTATTTACTACCTACTTATGTGTAATATTTTTTTGTAAGTTTACTTATTATGTAGTGTGATGTGCACACAGATTATGAGACTAATGTTAGACAATAATGAAAACAGATAGACACTATTTCAATTCGTGGATGTGAAAATTCATGTTGACCAAGTTGGTGGTTGGACGAGTGCTATATTTTACAGAGTGCATTAGTAGTCAGTTTTATTTCGGACACACATACGTTGACACAGATCTTGTAGATTGTGATGCACTGTTTTTTATTGAGTATGAAAGTATTTTAAAAAAAAATGATCATGTCCATTTGATTGTAACAATCTTCCTTTTTCTTATCTCTCTTTATAAAGTTCAAATGAAGTTTCTCACAATTCTGGTCCCTCACTAATTTGTACGATCAATTTTTTTTTTTTTAATATCAATGTGCATTTTTTTAAAATATGTAGGTACTGTGCAGCCTTCGGCAGGAATGATGCCGACCCGGCACTTTCTTGAAATAATGTTACCATATCTGTCATTTTTCACGCTTGTCTGATGATTAACTATGTATCTATAAAATGCTGTTCCAAGAGGATGTGGCTGTCTCATATTTCTGATAGTTGACATGGTTCCTATTGTAGCAAAGTTTGGTCACTTCTGCTATATACCAGTCAGTCTCATTAAAAGTTTGAATGTTTGAATGTTTCTTTGTTAATTACACTTTAGTGTTCTTAAATAGCCATATTTTCTTATGATGTGCAGCATCAACGAATTTTGCCATCTTTCTTCGGAACCTCTCTTGGTAAAATCAGTTTTGTTTTATTTATGTATATTTGCATAGATTTGTTCTACCTTACTTTATAGTTATATTTGCAAAAGTTAAAAATTTCTTTTGAATGATGATGAAAGTAATTCTTAATTGCATAATCCACAACAAAACAATTTAAAGTGATAATTAATTTTTAAAAAATATTGAGAATAAATAATAATAATAATAATAATTGTCTGAATACTTTCAAAATATTCATGTGCCAATGTGTTTCATGCTGGAGGTGATAAATTATTGGTGTTTGGATGAAGAGATGCCGACAGACAAATTTAGCCAGTTATACATTGCTTTTTAAATCACATGTTTCTTGATAATTAACTTGTTTGATTTATTTATTGTTTTCAAAATGGAAGTAACTGAACATGAAATTAAATGTGCTATGATATTTTTTGTGGCCGATTAGTGTGTAGGCAGAAATGTTGTGGAACGGTTTGGAAGAATGAACTTCTAATGTCATTCGTAAGAAATTTGTGGGCTTTCTCAAAGTTTTCTATAAAGTGAGTTTGTGAGAAAGTATATCGACTCAAAAATATTGACAATGTAAGGGATGACGAGAAATCTGCTAATTTTCTACATCTGAAACAAGATGATAATTGAGAAATCAAGTGTAATGGTGATCTAACCCCACTTTTTTAAGTCTAAATATTGTACCATAAAGTTGACACATTCTAGTTTTTCACATTTTATACTCAATTTGAACTCTAGTAACCAGAGATGATATATTTAATATACAAAAGTACAGTACAACACCATTAGCTCTATTTTGATATCAGAGAGGGTTAAACCACTCTTGTACTCGGCCTTTCGATTGTAACTACTTGTCTTTAAATGGTAGTTAATTAAAATTTATTTAAAAGTAACAGAATTCTGTAACTTTTTATTTTTAAGAACATATTTGAAAATATTTTAACTTGCATAAATTCTAGGTGGGTGTTCCCCCTCTGGAAAAATTTAACACCTGGGGTGGATCTCTGTCCATCGGCCATCCATTTGGAGCCACGGGAGTGAGACTGGTGGCCACCGCTGCAAACAGACTCATCAAGAATGGCGGCCAGTTTGGATTGGTGGCAGCCTGCGCTTCCGGCGGTCTGGTAAGTACTAATGTCAGTCAATGATTTTAAATGTTTTTCACCAGTAAATAGCCCGCCAGAGTTTAATCTTGGACGTAACTTGGTGTAAATAAAAATTATGAAATCAAAAACCATTGCATTTTTAACAGAAGTATAAAACGATATAGAATTTTGTCTTTTCAATTTATAATTTAATTAAAATACTGTTTAAACCTTGGCAAACTCAAAAACAAACAAGAGTAATCTGTGGATTTGGTAAATGAAAGCAAGTTTCAATGCATTAAAGTATTACACTAGTCGACAAATTTTAATTTTATTCATGTAATGTGATGAAAATTAGTGTTTTTTTTTTTTTTTTACTAAATGTATTGTGCCAAGTCCTGAAATGGCCATTAAATTATTACAATGTGGTTTTCATATCATAAGAAAGGAAAAACTACATTGTAAGTTGTGGTACAAAACATGAAAAAATATTATTACAGTATTGGAAACTATAAAAATTTTAATTTAATATTGTACATTCCATTTGGATTATTTTAAGCATTTAATTTGAACTACACTTTAAATTCTATTTAGTCCTAATATATTGCAGTATGCATTTGCATGGGAAACCCTGTCGTAAAACCTTTAGCTTCTTTTATGAGCATTGCCTTTTCTAGGAAGTAATCCTCCATTATTGTAGAATAAAGGTATTGGGTGTCCCAATACCTTTATTCTACACTGGTGTGCAAAACTTGAGGACGAAAGTAATGTTCACGTGTTGTGTCACTGCCAAGTAATATAGCTCGATGAAACTTGGCCCATACATAGAAAGAACTGCTACAGTATAGTACAGAAGGTAACTGACAGAAATATGCAACGAGACAAACAGAAATGAACTTTTATTCAACGACAATAATTACACTGAAGTCACCGTGATTTCTGATGGACATTATAAAAAGGTGGAACATGATTCTTAGTAGGGTGTGTGATCATGTGATCACCACGGACGGCAATGTACGCTCTGCAACGTGCTCCCATGCTGGCCACAAGGTTGGTAAGGAGTTCCTGTGGTAGGGCATTCCACTCCTCCACCAGTGCGGTTGACAACTGCTGGATGGTCATTGGTGCATGTGGACGTGCTGCAATACGTCTCCCCAACGCATCCCGTACGATATGCATTTTCTATCGACGTATGACTTATGCCAAAATTCGGCCATGGACCAGTCACGCGAGTAGCATTAGATGACTTTGGGCCACTTATCCGTTGTCATATCACAAGGTGATACAAGAACAAATAATACATTATTTGTGAGTAGCAGGCACATACTAATCACAAAATAACAGGTGCAGTTCTAGTAATCATACTACACCTTACACACTTTTCCAGTACTAGTTTAATCAAAACAAACATTTTCAACCCGTTCAGAGGTCTGCCTTGGGTTAAAAATGTATTAAAATATAAATTAAAGAAAAGAATAGAGTTCTAGTGGTATTTTTATTTTTTTTAATTTAAGAAGTGAAATTTATTACAGTAGAACCTTGAAAACTCGACCTAATGTGGACCGAAGGGTGGCCGAGTTTGTGAAAATGCCGAGTTATCGGGAATGGGGTTAAAAAAAATAAGTATGAGTATTTCCTCAGAAAATACTGTACTGTACTTGTATGTATTGTTTACTTGAGAATATAACAGAGAATAAACTGACCAAATACCCTTAAACAAAGGAAAAGTACGTCCTTTATGAAGGCATAGAGCCTTTACTACATGAAAATGAAAATTAATGAATACACTGTGTACAGTAATTTACCTGATAAGACAGACCTCAGAAAAATACTTTATGAGAGCTTTTATACTTTTATAAAGCCTGTCTATAATGAAAATTAATTAACTAAGGATTTTTTCGCCCTGCCAAGGTGTGGACCAGTTATCCGGAGTGCTAAGTTATCGAGGGACGAGTTTTCGAGGTTCTACTGTACTAAGATTTAACATTATTTTATAATAACAGAATATGGAAAATAATAACTACATTTATTGTTAATTTGAGTCGTTTAGACGTATTATTTTTTTTTGGCAAAAAACATATTATTTGGTGATATTATATAGAAAATAGCCAGACGACCAACCGAAGGATTCAAGTGCAGTGCGATACGTCATTTTTTACGGTTTGTTCCAGATGGGGATTTCGTTCCCAGTTCCTGGACGTGTTGGAACTTCGTATAAATGAAGTTAATTTAACATGATCTAAACTCGTGTCGACCAGAAATTTCTGGAATTAGTGCTTTTCCTTATACAAGAATGTAAAATGCAAATTATATACTTACGCAAGTAAGGATTTTAAATTTTATTCTATCAGGCAAGTGCTTCTTAGCATCACATTACCGGATTTGGTAATTCCATAATTTTTTTTTTGTACGTGTTCTTGAACCAAGCACGTCCGGCCGATTTACCGCAGACCTGACGATTTTGAAACTGTTTATCTCTGAATCGCTCTACGCGATTTAGAAATAAACGGACGGCACCGTCTCTTTGTGCTGCGGCGACGGTCCAAGTGCGAGATCAAAAGCGATTTTACAGGGCCTCCGATAAAGAGTGGTTATCGGTTTTGGCAGTATAACTGTCGGACAATAACTCTAGTGCACGTGCTCATAATTCTACATATAATAAATATAAACGTCTATCCGATTGTTTATCTAAGTAACTCTTAATTGCCCATTTTTCTAAATTATGAGATCGGCATTTTTATTTTTTAGTCCAGGACCATCCTCCATTTATCGATTTACTATTCTTTGATCTTTTGTCTCCTTTCCACTTGTATTTAGATACAATTGAAATATATGGTGTAAGGTAAAAGTTTAAGATCGCTATGATTTTCTCTGTAAATTTTTTTAGGAATGTTATAACCCAGCGATTCCCAACCTGTGGTACGCGTACCCCTAGGGGTACGCGATAGGTTGTTTAGGGGTACAGAAAAAAGTTAGTTATTATGGCAGAAAAAATAATATATTATGTATCACAAACTAATAGTATTAAAAAATTATTAGATAAAAAATGTTCCTTGCAACAATCACAACTTTATTATACATTTTTTCTTTTAGTTTTTTTTTTCTTTAATTTAAAGTTACAATATGTAAAATTAACAATACGATTACTCACTAAATTTCTTAAATGAGGGGTACAATCTAGAGATATGACATGTCACGGGGTACGCTAATGAAAAAAGGTTGGGAACCACTGTTATAACCAAATGATTAAACAGCGTGCAAAAGTAAGTACAGTAAGACCCCACTTTGTGGGGGATGCATTCCTAGACAACAAAGTGCTAAACAATAGAGTTAAACGAGGTCATTTTAACATAGAGTATAGGGATAGGGAAACACACTACCAAAAATAAACGGATTTTACTTTAATTATAATGCAAATTAATATAAAAATAACTTAAAATTAATGTTAAATAACACACAAACATATGCACACAGAAATGTAAGTTCATTTTTTGTGACAAAGGTCCTGGCTCTTCTGTAATTTTTGTTTTTTGAGATAACGTCATGTAGTTTCATTTTTCGTTTAGCAATGTTGATAGCAAAAGATTGCATCCAAAATGCTTACTTTGCTAATTGCACTCCTTCCAAAATCTGGATCATTCGCTACAATTTGATCAACTATTTTGGTTATCTTTACCAAACTTTTACTAAGAAAATCTGTAGAGAAATTCTTTGGGTTTTTTGTTTCCGGAATCACTATTTTCCAGTTGCACACGAATTCCTTGTTTTGCTAGTTCTCGAAGGTCGTCTTTGGTAAGTTTCTCACCAGAAACCCACCGTAACTTTTCAATATCCTGCTTGTCTACATCTAGTCCCGCTGTATCGATTAGGTTGACAATTTGGTCAACCTAACGATATAGAGATAGGCTCTTCTTGTTGAATTCTTGGATACCTTCAGCTGTAACTTCTTTCACACTTTGTTTGTGCATTTATCAGTTAATTCTTGCCAAGTCAATATTTCGTATGGTATCCATGATGATATATTTTTTCCAAAAAAAGGAAGCACAGCGCTACGACATATTCCTACCTTTTCCTGACTGGTTCGTAAATAATTGTATTTATATACAATTCAATGAAATGTCACGATAATTTGAATCAGCATAAATTTTGAAGCTTTTATTTTAATAAATTTCACCGTTTTCTTTGTTGTTAATATATTTAAATTTTCTTCCGTAATACACTGGCAAAAAGTTCGAGATTGGCTTACGGACAGATTATTATTATTACAAGCTGTATTTGGAATCAAGGAGTTCAAAACGACTTTATGGTATCGATACTTTTGGTACCGTACATTATATACCATGCATGCAACATCACTCTAGAGCTTCCAACGGGCGATATGGGAACAGCATTCCGTCCTCTTTGGTGTTTGATGTTCTTGGTTAACCATTCCGCAGTCTAATGTAGATATTGTACAGTACTGTACATGTCTTTCGCCATTAAGAGGCAAGCTAAATTTCCAGGAATTTTGTTAGTTGTCGGCATTTTACCCAGGGGAGAACCAATATCTAAATTAACTTTGCTGGTGCATCTTTGATATGCACAAATTTGTGCGCTTTCATAATTAGTTGCCATTTTACTGGCATGCATTTTCAAGTTAACAAACGAGAAGAATATGTAAATTGAAACAAAAATTACACACATTTCATGTTAAAGAAATACTTTGTGATAGTCTCAAATTTTTGTCTGGTATATTATTATGGAAGAAAATGTAAACTTATTGTTACTAGCTTTTTGTAAATATGTTAAATGGTGAAACTTACAGTTGCACTGGGTTATAACTTTCTTAAAAAATCACGGGCTGTCTTAAACTCTCGCCCAACTATACGGAGCGAGTCAGGAGGCAATACTATAGATCGTTGTAAACATAAAACTGTACGAACACCGACATTATTCTCGGTAGTTTTTGAGGTATGGATGTTTGAAAGTTTTTCACATAAGTACAATAAAAACGAACGATATATATACAGGGAAAAATTTAAAAAAAATGTAAACTAGAAAAACAGTCTGCAAACATTTTTGCCACTTCTAATTATTTATTAGGCTAGCTGAGTCTGGAAAACAAAAGTAACAGATTAAGCCATCACATAGAAATAGGGATGGTTTTTGAATAACTTAAATTCCAAATAACGCATTCAATTATGATACTTAAATGGTATTTCACACGTTCTGTTGTCAATATTTTTGAGTGTTTGTCGCATTGTTCGTTACCGTCGTATGTATGCCAGCACCTTTCAAACGTCCACATCTCCAAACCTACCAACAACAATACTCACCTTCGTACAAAGCTTTTTGTTTGCAATGATCCATATTGTCTTCCAACCGATTTCTCTCTTCCCCAATAACCTGGCTGGTGACGAGGGGAGAGAGAGAGTGAACAAAGTATGATAAGACTAGATGATAACAAATATATACAAATTTATTCTTAACCAATGGTATTTAAAAGCATCCAGGACCCATTGTTTATTATCTTATGTAAGCGAGTGGCATCGAAAGCTACTTGCATACCGAGTGATAGAATATCATTTCGTGCAAATTAAAGGATCCGCGTAGTATTGCATAAAGTCGAATGCACTTAAGTTGTCCGGAGAACCTTCTGAGGTCCTAAGAAGCAAATTTCTTTTGCACATCACTCAAACATTGCATTTCCAAGCTAGAGCTCTGCCACTTTTTATCATCTGGAGCATCGTTAGCTTTATTATCACAAACTACTAAGCACTTTTGGGTAGACAAGCCATCGTCGGAAGCTCCAAACGTACTTCGATTAGAAGTTAGTATGTAAGCTTGTCTTCTCGTTTGCATAATTTTCTATTTCTCCCATTGTATAAAGTTAGCAAATTCTTTGATAAGTGGTTTTTGATATGGGACTAAAAGTTATTTTCTTTTTGGTCTTTCCTCCTCTCCGTCTTTTGTTGGCTTTAACTATTGTGGCCCGAATGTGCAGGCCAAAAAAGATCTCTCTCGGAATGAACCTTCACGTTGGCCTTCCTTTACGCCAGACATGCAAAATGTTACGTGCCGACATAAATTTGGTCCATTTTAAAGTTTCACCACGGTTTCATAAGTAAAATATACCATTGTTTATCATTAAGCTAAATTCACGGGCTGTCCAACTTATAAATTTTTTTCTTTCGAAGCCACCTGCATTTTAATGCCACGTTGACATTTGTGCCCATTTGCCAGAATCTCCATTCGGAAACTGTTGTATCTAACTTACCAAGTGGGAAAAACCTTATCAAAAAATGGTGCCGCTAGGAATTCGTCGGGTCAAAACACCCCGTATAATTTGAATTAGGAATAAGTACAGAATTCAATTTTGTTTATTTCAGGGTCACGCGATGGTGGTGGAAGCCTATCCTAGAAAATAAAGGGCAACGTACGTCGAAATCCTTAGCCTCTTTTTATACTTCGGTCGTTTAACAAGAATATAAAAGAAATAAACACTGAGGAAAACAATGTACAGTTTATTTTTAAGCATTTTTACATAAAAAGAAAATGACGGTAAAAATTTTCCTAATGAATGCAACCTGTACAAATGATGTGTTCGGGAAGAATATTAAATAATAATGGGAAAATTTGTGTTGTTTTTAGTTTTATTTACACGGTTCTATAATTTGAATGAGCAAGCCAGCCATATATTTTTTCTACAACAGACTGTTTTTCTAAAAAATACGTGGTTAAAACTACACATCTAGTACATAGCAAAGGAAAGGAACGAAGATTACTCAATGCACTGTTGGGGACAGGATCTGCTACACCGGCGTTCTCTCGCTTTCCTCTTTCTTTGTAGCTCGCGTGTCGTTTGATCGGCCCGCTTTTGTCGTCGTACAACAATATATTGTTACGGTTCCTCAATTAATTAATGGATAAGGCACGGTAACAATTTTATTGCGGATTGTATGCCAAGACCCCAATAACGCTCGGATAAAAATCATCGGATTGCATAGGAACAACAAAACGTTTGGGTAGCGCCCATTTAATCGAGTGACGAAAGTATCGAAAGCCGGCCTCAAATGCAATATATTTACAACGAAAACGCGCTCCGATAAAACGTTTTAACAAACTTAAAAGCTCGATTAATTAACGCCAATTCAACAATATATTTTTTAATCCGCAAGCTCAACGCCGATAAAATATATAATAAATTAACTTGGTCGCGTCGGAAGGCCACAAACGTGGCTCGGGTTTTCTAGCAGACTACAGAAAACTTAATCGGAAGTCACCGGTCTCTTCTACAAACGTCTTGTTCGACGAAACTAATTTTATACCCGAAACGATCCTCGAGTTTGCGGCGGGTGGTGCAACTTTCGAATAAATTAGCCTGGTAAGAAAGGAAAAAAATCCGACCGCGCGCGCGGCAAGGGACTGGTCCCTGGAAATTTGTTCGAATAAAATCGCAAACTTATTTACACGCTAACGAAAACTATTTCGTCTATGTACAATATAAAAATCCCATACAAAAAGAAAACGTTCGATATAAGTCATTTAAAACTATACAAATTAAAAAAAAACAACGGCGTTACGTCGGATGCGCGGGAAAACGGAAAATACGGCACCGAAAAACGAAAAAAATCTGGTCGCATCCCTGCGTCGGCAATTTGGTCCCTGAATCGTGTTTTCCCCGCAAGGGTGTCAGCCATCCTGTCCTTAAGCAGTATATTCAGCATTGCGTTTTCCGATATCACATTAACCCCGCAGCTGGCGTTTTTAGTTTTTTAATTTGAATGTTTTTAAACGTAACGGAAGATTTTCACGCCCTCCTCTAATTAGCGGTTTGATTTTTCGTTATAGAAACGGTCTTATTTTAAAAACAAGATTACAAAGCAAATAGATTGTAAAAGGTTTCTTCGAGAAAAATCAGACGTAACAAAGTGCATCGAAGCGTCGGGTTCGAAAATCGACGTTCGACGGTTTTCGGCGCCGCCCGCGCGCGACGCCGGTTCGAGCGGGAAAACTTTCGTAGCGAGAGAAGACGGTGCGGCGATTTTTAAGTGACGGACTACGATCGACTAACGTCTTATTTTCCGGCCGGAATCCGACCGCGATAAACGAAGACCGTTTCCGGCCCAATTTTAGGATATCGAATGGGAAACGGCGGCGCCCGGCGGATGCCAATATGTATATCTACGCGCCGGGCGACGGTCGCGCGCAACGCGTTCCTTTCGAAGTCGTCCGGTCGCTCCTGCCTTGCGGTCTTCCGCTCCAACAAAACGGGAAGTCGAACGTATGGAATTGCACGCCGAACGTCTACTGGCATCAGGGTCGGTGGAACCTGTCGCAAACCATTATTCGGGTCAGTATTTCGTCCGCCATTTTTTTTCACCTAATTACGTCGGCTGCATTGGGCAGAGTCGACGGTCCTAACCCAGCCAAGGTGTCGCGTAGTTGCCTCGGCCCAACGAACGGTGGCGCTAGTAAATGTGAAGTCAAAACACCCAACGGCTCCAGAACTGTCGAGTCGGCCCAACGCAGCCATTTAAATGGAAAGACGAACACTACATAATGTGGACCGTAATTACGCTGGATGGGGCCACTTTAAAGCTTTAAACTTTTAAAAAATTGTTCAATAATAATGATAAAAAGTATCAAATTACAGAAAAGAAAAAAAATTTGACGTTTCCGTTAAGCATCGGTGAGAGTAGAGAGTAGAACAGTTGAATTTTTCGGATAGATTACAAAGTCCGACTTTCGACTGCGCACGCAAATGTTTATCGGTACGACACCGACATTTTATACCTTTTTACTCGATACCCCGTTTTTCCTACTCTTATACAATGGACTATAAACGCGGCAAAAAATGGTAATTTCACCGGTGGTCTTAAGCCAGCCCAATGAAATACCCCACTGTACCACTGGCCACTTCTCTGGTTTAATATTTTTGATCCCTCGTGCCATATAGTAAGCATACTTGGCTTTATGCGTGCCAAAGTTTTAGACTTCGAACAACGATATTTAAATAAATTAAACGAATATACTTTTAATCAGAATAAATGTAAAACAGCCGATTGAAAAAAGGATGATCGAGTGATAAACCGAAATCATATACGTGCCACTTTGGGTGTGCCTGCCATGGATTCGCCACTCCTGCTCTAAACTTTTATACGTACAAAAAAGATTGTATTAAAGACCAGTTTTTACACTATCAGAAAATGAAATAGAACAAAACAGAAAAAGATTATTCTAATATTGTGGAAATACAAAACGAAAGGTAAACTACCTTTCGTTTTGTATTTCCACAATATTAGAATACCAGCAGAATTAAGTCAATTGTAGCCGACCACACAGTCTCCTTAAGACAGACAGACAGACAGTTCAAAAAATTGTCAATTATACGAGAAAGAATACTTCTCGTTCTCTTCTAAAAACAATTCTACTACGTTGCTGTGTCTTCCTCCTTTCCAACAGTGCCATTTTCATTCCATACCAGAAGACAAACTATTTATGACGCAATGGTGACATTTTGTTTTTTCTTTTGGTCAAAATAACAGACAAAAGAACGGAAAGTATTTTCTATTACGAGTTTCCGTTCGAATTTTCGGCCAACAGCGGAGAGTTTAAAAAAAATCAAAATGGCCAACGATATCATCCGACAAACGTCTAAAAGAGATTTTAATATCAGAAGCCACAGAATTTATCCCCAATTTTTAAGACATTTGACCAGGGCTGTGGAGTCGCGTAAAAATCTACCGACTCCGACTCCGTTTCATATACATAACAAGTTGGTAAGTAAAAGGGAGTCGGAGTCGGCGGATTGTTTGACGACTCCGACTAAAACACCAAAACTCCACGATTCCGACTCTGACTCCACAGCGGTCGACTCACTGGAACCCATCATCCCTCAGTCTTTTATAGATAGCACGTGGCTGTTTTCCGAGAAAGGTAACGACCCTCCGCTTTTTGTGTTTAAAAATATTTAGCAGTGCAGAAAGATAGCGGAAAAGAAAATGTAAACGGCAAAGCACTAATTCTCTAAACAGGGAAAATGAAGAAAACAAATGTCATAAAAATGATGGATGCGAATTTCTGTTTACAAAACCTAAGAATTTCACATTTATTTAAGTACCGCAAAATCGATTAAAATCTTTTATTATTTTGTTGATTCTGCTCTTAACCCTTCCGGAAAAACGTGTAAAAGTTATCTAAACACGCGAACTTGATGCCTTCCACGCTTTCGGATTTGCATCTATCGGAGAGATCTGCGCTTTCTGCTATATTTTATCTGGGTTAAAACTTTCCGGTTAAGTTATTCTCTTGGTCCCACAAAAGAAACCATTTAAAAAACCGATCGATATCTAAGGTATTACCCAGAACAAGAATAAAGCCAACGTGCTGTATCTGGAATGCGTATGGTTCAGTCTCGCTCAAGTCTGAAATATGGGATTATAGTCTATTATTATAATTGTAGGAAAACAACAAAGGTCTTGGACAGTTGATAAATTTGAAATCTTTTGTATAATAATCATAAATCATAAACTGCTGCGATATTCCTTTCTTGGTTAAGTGCCACAAATTTGTGGACGTATTCTTAGAGCAAATGCTGCGATACTTTATGTTCTCTCTTACAATAGCAGAACTGTATACGTGGAGAGTGATAAATGTTTCAAACCATTCATTTCCTGATGATAATCATAATCACTACTCCATGCAAAAAATATGAGTACTATAGAGATACAAATACAAGTGAAAAATGTTTAATTTCTTTGTAGGTTGTCAATTGGATTAAAACATCCATCTTGATAAGATTTCATAGTATTGTCTTCCCAATATTTGGAAACCTTATGACCAACATTAATGAATGTTTCATCCAGATAGTCAACAGTCCTCTTTTATTGATGATGTGGATGGACCTTTCTCAAGTAATGATGTCTCCAAGTGTCAGTTTGGATGATTCTTAGCAGTTTTGAGTTCAGATTTTGACAATCAAACACAAGATGCAAAGTTTATTTAATTTATATTTGATAAATTGGGATCGTTGTTTATTTGACAACGGATGGATTTACTGGCGGGAGCTCATTTCTAAAGAAAAATGAACTAATTGCATTTGGGATGCCGTCCAGAAAAACTCGTCACATTTTATGCCTCGTCTTCGTGAAAAATCTCTTTAATCTTTCCATCTTTTGATTGCCATTCTTTCTTTGTGGCAAAAATGTTTGGAACCAAATTCTGCAGAGTTGCCTTTTCGACTGACAAAGACGAATGTTGTTCGTGTAATTGAGCATATACATTAAAAAGTATTTCTTTAGCCTGTCTTTTCTTATTACTTTTAAAATAATATTGAGGTAATTTGTTTGATCCAGCATCTGCAATTCTGATAAATGCCAAACAGAAACTTAAAATTCGATTCTATTTCAAATTTCTCGTGAAAATGTTTGAAATTGCAAGTAGATTATAACAGTTTAAACATATCTCATGATAATTTTCCAACATATGTTCTGCTTCGTAACGAACACGGAATTATTTTCCTTTACGTATGTTAGATCAAAGAACATTGGCTCTATTTTTATTCTGGGTAAGACTACAGTTCTAAATTGAATATTTTACTATATTTAAAAATACTTTGCTTACAAATTAGTTTAACATTATATTATATTACTAAATTCTAATAAAAAATAGTTATATAAATAAAGTCAGTATTAACTTAATATACCTTGTGAGGTGTCTACTTTCCTGGTGAACTTCCATTTCCTGACTTTTGAATTCATTCAGTTCTTTCCTGATCGCTGCCTGAAATACACCAATCTTGACTTTCAGAAACGTTAATTAAAAAAGAATTTTAATAATCTTAATAAATAATAATCATTATACATAAGTACGATCTTAAAAGATTCATTATACATTATTATTTTGTAGTAAAAAATTGAAGTTAATTTTTAAAAAACTGAATATATAAATTACCCTTTTCCAAAACTATAAAGAATTTAAATTAGAATAAAAAAATTACTGCTAACATTTACACATTTAAAATGAAATGAGTGGAGTAAAATTTTTCTGTTTAATTGCAAAATGTATTACAAAATTTGAATGCCAAAATTTCTAACTAAAACTGTCAAAACTTTAAAATATTACAAGTTACTTTTTTGCATATATTATTTTCCCTTTAATATACATCAACTGTGTTCCATAAACTGGTTAGACCAGAAATCAAGAGTATTTTGCAAGAAGAGCCAATTTAAAAAAAATCTCAATGGAAACAAATTATCAAAAATCACAGGGGTACATAAATAAAACATACATTTTAAAACACTACGACTGTACTTAATGATATTTATTTTTAAGGTGAAAACATAATACAGTAATACCCCGAACTTACGCGATAGGTGGGACCGAGCGATAATTGCGTAAGTCAAATTCGCATAAGTCAGGGTATAATTTCGCAATTTGTGTAAAATCCAAATCGGATGTATGTAAGCTAATAAATGTTCTCGTTAATCTTATCTCGTCTTTTGATTCATTCACAGTTACAAGAAATCACCACATAGAGTCTCTCAAGTCTCCGTAGATATAACAAACACAGAAATAAATAACACAAAATAAATTGTAGCTATGTGTCGATTCTGCGTGACACATCTGAACATGTAAGCTGAACAATAGTGTGGGGGGAGTGAATAATCAAGAGTTGCGTGGCGCTCAAACAAAAGACGAATCGACGAGATTTGAAAATCGCGTAACTCCGGGTTCGCGTAAGTCGAGGTATTACTGTACTAGTTATGGTAATCATTTTTAAGGAAAGAAAATACACTTGAAATAAGATGTCATTCAATAAAAGTATTATGAATATTTTAAATAAAATAAGCAATTATTTATTGTGACATGTCATAATGCTGAAATTTTTAATCATCATCTAATTTAAATTAATTTAAAATATATGCTCCTGATTTAATGGTGTCTTGCTCCTGTACACTGTACTTTTCCTAATAATAATTGAGTCATGCCTGTTATCTATGTAACTCCATTCTGGAGAAAAATTTTGAATTGAAATCACCTGACTTCTCATCTAGATGGAAAGATCATATATAGTTAATCGAGACCTCTGAATTCTAAGCTTTCTGCAATCTAGTCTCTTAATCTAGTCTGCATTTCATCTACTTAATTCTGTTCTTGAGATTAACAAAGGACAGACAGACAGATGCCAATGTGAATTTATAGGACTGCAATTAATTAATATGCATCAATGTCCTTAATTCAACTAGTTATTCTTTTAATCACCATAACAGTGTATTTCTATTAATAAGACTTATTATACTGGTGTATAAGATTACAGCAACTCAGTCACACAGATTAAAATTGTTTTATTTACAATTATACAACTGCAATTTGAAAAATGCAGCCCAACAAGGATAGTAACAGAGTGAGCAAAGAGTGTCTTATCATGTTTCTAAGTGATGCAATTTTAATTTTTCATTATTGCTCTTTCATTTTCCTTTTTGACTTACTCTTACCATCCCTCTTATTTTCTTTATGCAACTTTTTGTTTACTTTCTTATGTATTTGGTCATTGCAATACAGACTTTTGTTATTATAGACTTTTTTAAAATTAATTTTGTTAAAGTTGGCCATACTTCCGAGTTTCTCTTTTCCCTGTATTCGTTTCATCTTGCTTCCCCACTTCTCAATCATATTTCCTTCTATTGACTCACATTTGCTTATCTACTAGCTGTATACTTTTAAAATGGTTACATACCCATGCACTGTTAATGAATGAGTATGATGAAAAGGAGAGAGCTTCCCTAATGTAACTGTGTTTTAAATGTAAGCTCTGAAAACTGAATCACAAAATATGAAAGTAGATAGTCATGAGCAAAAAATTACTGCACTACAGTATTTTATTGTGACCTATAAAATATAAACATTATTATAGTAAGCATATTGCTGAAATGTAGTAATTAAACTGATTGCTAACCCATCTTATCAGTTGAGATTGCTCGCTAGAACAAGAGAGTGACATTAGAAAGTGTAGGAGTATTCTTGAAGAATCATATTGGTTGACATTGATTTTAAGTTTAAAGATTTGATGAATCGAGTGGCATGTGCCGTACAAATGATAAATTAATAAGCCTTGCTATATGACTAAATAATATAGTTCAGTTAATCTGTGAAGACTAATGTAAAATATAAAAACTTTTAAAATAATTTTCATGAAGGTTTATTATACCTTATCTTTTGGAGTTAAACGTGTCCACGGTTTGTCTGCTCTGCGATCGTAGTCGTGAGCCTGGGTGACCTCGACGTAATCATTAAAACGAATGATTTTCCGCTCTTTTAGTTCTTCAATGGTGGGACGAAAGCTCAGCTAAATAAATGAGAATATATGGAATTGTTTTAAACTGTTATAAAGATCCTTAACAAGTAAAATTAATTTATTTATGCTTCTAACACAATAAAGTGCTATAAATTAAGACACTTGGCGGGTTTTCTCATCTTTATTTAGTTGATACGTGTGAAAATTTTACACGTTTTGGGCTCTTAAGCCCCTCTTCAGCCAACTAAAACATTAAAAAAGAATATAACATACATATAAAAAACACAAGTTTTGTAGAATTCATAAAAATATAAAACATACCCATGCATATAAGTCTTATAGACTGAAGTAACAGCTTATTTCCGTTTCAGTAACAGTTACTCTCGATATTTTCCAGTAACTTCAGCTTATTCATAACCAACTATAATATTAGGGTATATGACACATATATACAAAAGTATACATAAGAATCTATAAAACTATCTTCAATTAAGGCATACCTTGAGTACGGTTGTTATTAAAGCTGTATACAATTGATTATACCTTTCACTTATAAACAGTTCTACAAAATCCTTGATCTTAAACATACTTTGGATTATGCCTTACACTCATAATCTGTTTTACGAAATCCTTATTTCCTTTGATACGCATTTACAATATAATATGAATTTACATAACTTCTACAATATCAAGAGTAACTGTTACTGAAACGGAAATAAGCTGTTACTTCAGTCTATAAGACTTATAAGGCATAATCCAAAGTATGTTTAAGATCAAGGATTTTGTAGAACTGTTTATAAGTGAAAGGTATAATCAATTGTATACAGCTTTAATAACAACCGTACTCAAGGTATGCCTTAATTGAAGATAGTTTTATAGATTCTTATGTATACTTTTGTATATATGTGTCATATACCCTAATATTATAGTTGGTTATGAATAAGCTGAAGTTACTGGAAAATATCGAGAGTAACTGTTACTGAAACGGAAATAAGCTGTTACTTCAATCTATAAGACTTATATGCATGGGTATGTTTTATATTTTTATGAATTCTACAAAACTTGTGTTTTTTATATGTATGTTATATTCTTTTTTAATGTTTTAGTTGGCTGAAGAGGGGCTTAAGAGCCCAAAACGTGTAAAATTTTCACACGTATCAACTAAATAAAGATGAGAAAACCCGCCAAGTGTCTTAATTTATAGCACTTTATTGTGTTAGAAGCATAAACAAATTGTAAAGCACGGTTTCATATCATCAAAGTAAAATTAATCTTTTACCTTCCTAATTAGCATTTTCTTCTTTTGTTCTTTTTCTTTTCTCATTTCTTCTGGAGTTTGATCTTAAAAAAAAAACAACAAAAACTTTTAATAGATATTTTAAGAATTTATAATTATCATAAACATATAAATATTAAAGATATATAACTGTAATGCAAATATTCTTACTCTTTAAAATATTTCTTTGTTCTAATTCTTCGGCAGTTGGCCTGAGACTAAGCCGCCTACAAATAATTCTCATGATTAATTTTGTATGATGGTGTCAAATTTTATTATAATTTACAATTGTCTTAAATAGAAGATGAATAAAGAAAGACAGAAATTACTTAGATTAAAAAAAATCTCTAGAATTCAGATTTTGAAAGAAATCTCCACTTGGGATCAATTTATTTTTAAAACTAGGGATATTTTTGTGTATAAAAGGAAATAATAAAATTAAAGTTATAAAAATAAAATGAGTTTTTAATTTTAATTATAAATAGTGTTTTTATTCAAAATGAATAGCTTTATTTTTCTCAATAGAAAACAACTCTGTACTATTAAGAAATAGTTTTGTGAGAGCCAAATTTGGTGAAGAAATTTTGGTTCGATTTAGTTTTTCGTTAAAGTTGTTTTGCTAAAATCATCAAGGATAATTAAACTGTTTCCCATGGACTTATTTCCTTGTTGAAGATGACATGTTGAATGTGTCACCCAGAATCAACGAGTGAAAATGTGACTATTGGACCTGATGTACTAAACCTCCTAACAAAGTCATGGGAAAAACCCAGGAGGAACCCCCTAATAAAAAGGAGGGGGTGATAACAAGCCAGAGCAGTCATCATCAACCCTTTTTCCTAAGTATGTGTGTTCCGAACCGCTGTTTTAGCCATCGCCACTTGCCGCCTCCCAGAAGCTGAGAAAAAGAGAATTACCCTCTGATCTGAGTTGCCGACCTTTCCTCAATTTGTGCATCGATACAACTAGGACTCACGAGTATTTTAAGATATTTATCATCTCTCAAACTTACTGTGAGCTCTCTATCTTGGTCAAGGTCATGTTAGGTTTATCTCTCTATATCCCTCTCCCTTTGGCAATGGTGCTAAGCGTCTAAAATACTTTTTAGCCATTGTGCTGAGCTTCTGAAATGATCGTAAACTTGTAAACAATATCTCATAAAACTTATAAATAATATCTATCAATAAATGGGTATTTTTGTTAAATGTTAATTTGTGGAGTGTACTTCTCCCAGTTGTTTCCATCCACCCCCATTCCGAGTCCGGAAGCCCACAAACACGACTACTTATGGCACTCATGGCACATGATAAATATCGTAACAGCCATCAAGATTTCCATGCCCAGTGGACACAGTGGTGTCAGTCCTGACAAGGTGCCAAGGAGGTGCTGACCCTGCGATCACAGTTCTATATAATGCAGATTACCAAAGAAATTTTTTAACATTAAGAAGAAATAAAATTCAATATGTTTTCTCACTTATCATATTAATTCCATTTTACAGCTAATTTTTCTGAGATGCGTACTATCTCTTATTATAATTAAACTTAATGCAACTTTAGTATAATGAAAATATTATTTATGTTAATGCTGTATAATAAGTTTAAGTTAATATTGTTAGTAAGGTTACATTAAATTTAAAATATCTTAACAATGTTTTGTATATTTTAGAAATATCACCAAAAATGTAATTTTTGAATTTATTTTTTTTTAATAAAAATTTAAATAGATTACACTATCATATAATGTCAACACTAATTAAACTAGAAAACTATCATCATTTTTAATATCTATAAACTAATACAATTTTCTCAAGAGTTTTTTCTTGATTACTTTAATTTTAGAATAAATTATAAAATTTCTATATAAATTTATTTTATCTATTAAATCAAGCATGAAATCCATAGATAGTTTGAAAGAAAGAGAATGATTTCATATTTCTACGAAATAAATTATGTGAATGTTAAAGGTTTTAGAAAAATTTTATAAAAAAAACAATGAAAATAAATATCAATAAAATAATGGCATAAATACTTGTGATAAATAAAACATTGATTAATGGCATGGCAAATTATCTTAAAAAAATTTATTTTTTCAAGAAATATTTTTATATGAATCAGGTGTCAGAAGAACTTTTAATCAATTTACATATTTATAAGTAGAGAAGAGCCTCAAAGGAAGGTTGACTCCACTCTTGTTAATTGTGTTCCTGTGGTTGTAAAGGCGTGAAGACGTTGGATTTTTATTTCTATTTAGTCTTAAATTTGCAACATATTTAAAAATAAAAGATGTTTTACTCAGTCAGTAATGATTTCACCTTTCCAGAAAAGTTTGTCCAACTAAAAAGTGTTGGATCAAGCTAATTCAGCCCCTTGTTCAGAAAAGAAAAATATATACTCTGATCAATTAGTCTGGCTCATTCAGAAAAATAGAGTATTTATTTAGAGCTGGGATAATAAAGGAATGAATAAAAAATATTCAATTTCAATTGGATCAAAATAATTTAACTACTAAACACAAACACTACAAAGAAAACTATTGATACATATTTAATAAATTAAATTGTTGCATTTTGTATTTAAAATAAATAAATTATAAGAAAATACAAAAACATTTTAAAAAATTATTAAATATAAAATAAATTTTCTTTCCTTTAAATAAAAAAAACTAAATTAAATTTAAAATGCCAGAGTCGGAGCCGACACATTTTTCCCGACTCCGACTCCACAGCCCTGCAAACCAGGTCTACAGTAAACTGGGTCAGACATATTTGATTCCAAATATGTCAGACTCGACTCCTTGCACCTGGTTACTTTATCTGCAATTTGGCCCATGAATTTTTCATGTGATCCAACCCATAATAGCAAAAAGATGCCTGTATTGTTTTGGCTATGGTAAATACAGTAATTGCATAAGCTACTGGAAGTAGAATTTAATTATTCATTATTAAAAAACAACTACAGTCATATATTCATATATGTATATATATTACTATAAAATATAGTTGATTAAAAACTCATTAAAAAGTTTCTCTGACACACATTGATTCTGATCAATAAAAAATACTAAAAGTACAGAAGTAGATAACAATGTTATAATAATTTATGTATATTAGAACTTACCTTATTAATTGATTTCCTACGGCTTCCCATATTTCCTGTCGTTCCTTTTCTGTTTGTAAATGAATGATATTTTTGTCGATTAGTTCTTGGCGTTCAGGTCTTTGAGCTAATTTTAGTGCAAGAAAATCTCTTCGAACCATTTTGGCTACCAGTCGGCCTGAAAAACATTAAATTCATTGTTTCAAAACCAATAGAAATCAATATTTATTTTGAAATACAGTTATTTTCATATTAATTTAAACAAATTAAATCATCAACTTTATTAATGATTAATTTTCTAAAATATGAATTATTTAACATTGATTAAATTTGAAAATAATTAATCCAGATTGTTTGAAATCGTATCAGAATGTAAATTTCATTCTAGGTCTGACCAACTATTTTGTGTTAAATTCTGTGATAGTTAAGAATACTGTTAATAATGTTCATTTATTATTCAAAAGTTAATTACTAGTTCTAATTTCACAATATTGCTGTTTGTAAATCTATCTACACTATTACTATTTAATTTCATTAATGTATCTAGGCATTCTGCACATGCCCATCTTTTATGGCTCAAACTCAACATTTAACATCACTTCACAACATTTTCTACATACATTCACATTGAAATTTATGATTCTTTATGTAAACAATACTGATTTTATATACATATTGACAATGCTGCCACTTGGGTATCTTGCATCTATGTGCATATCCCATTTTTGCACCCCTTATGATTTAACTCAGTGCAAATACAGTAGAGCATCAATTATCCAAATACCAATCAACTGAAACATCGATTAACAAAGGGCGTTCCAATCAGCAAATTCAAATTTTTGGTAGTTCTGTGGCGCTTCAGCCACAGAACTCTCTCCTTCCTTGCAAACCTAAACTGTAGGTTCACTTTAATGTACTACTTTATGTAAGGTATGGTAAAGTATGTAAGACATGTGATACAAAATATATACAGTACAGTTTTGTGTTTAATATATTTTTTTGTAAATGATCAGTTATCCAAAAAATCAGTTATTGAATAACCCCAGTCCCAAATTGTTTTGGATAATCGATGCTCTACTGTATATAACTATTGCAAAGATAAACTTCCTACATAAGTCACATGAGTCAGTAGATCAAAGCCAGATTGACTGAGATTGATAAAGCCTAAGTCTACAAAAGATAAACAGAAAATAAATGGGGAGACCACTACCTGAGGACTGCCATCAAACTGTCTGTTGCACCAAAAAGGAGAAACTCCAAGAGTCTATCCAACAAAAAAGGCTGTGTGCTTGTGTACTGCAAAAGGATACATGTTGGTGTGTCAGACTGGAATTTAAGCTAATGATTACCTCATCCCCAGATTGTCAGGGACAAGGCAATCTAGGGCTGAACTATTAAAGAGGACAAACCTGCTGAAGAAGACAAAGTGTCCAGGTTTAACTCTCACTCTTTGCAAACTGGTTGAATTGTGTTGACTAAAAGCAAAGTAAGATGTGCAAAGGTAGGAGATTAGTAACTCATCACAGAGACCATTAATAAAAACAGGTGTTTTTTTTGCTAATTTGTAGTTTTTGACTGAGCTACTTTGTCCAAATCTGCTGTCTGGCCAATCACAAGAAACAGAAATGCCAAAGAAGGTGGGACAGATCCCATATTTATGTACATTATTCATTCTGTAACTCCCACAACTTTCAGAATAAATTAATTTTATATTCTGAAGTTTTAGTTTGCAGACCTTCACTTTGAATATTTTTTTTAATTTAAAAATGGTAATGATTAAATTGAAACTTACGCTAGTATCTAAAATAATAGTATATATATATATAATAAGAGAAAGTCAGTAAATAGGTCAGAAACAGCTATTAAGAAAAAAACTAAATGAAATACAAACATTTATCATCACATTTACAAGTTTCTTTATTTCTCAACATAATTCTATTATTAATGTATGTATCTTATTGCTTTATCAAAGCAATATTGGCTGCATAGAAGACTTGAGTTCTGTTGTCTGTCACATTCAACCTCTGTCACTTGTAAAATGTTTTCCTTCAAAGTGATTTTTTAGCAGTTTCACTTGGAGTTAAGTTGGAGCTGTAAGGCAGATGTTCCATTAGTTTCCACCCTAGTTCAATTTTCTCCTGCATTAATTGAACCAAATGATGTTTGGTACTGTTGTGACAAAATAGTACTTCTTTAAGCCTGAATGATTTTTTCAAATTGCAATGTAAAGCTTTGACAGAATTTGACAATAAGATTCAGCATTCACAATCTGACTTTGCTTCTGGAAATTGGGTACTCCTTGACAATCCCAAAACATTGTAAGAATAATCTTCCTTACAAATGGCATTACCTTGAATTTCTTGATTAATCATTTCTGTTACTAGTTTCTTGTAATTTACTTTGGCTTTTTTTTAGTAATTTAAATCACACAGGAAAAAATTAATTGTTTATATAGATTTTATTAGTGTATTTGGAAATACATTTTGGGTTCTGTTAACGCCTCTTCAGTCCTTTTTTTAATATATTTTCTTTGATTATTTAACATAGATTAGTATTAAAAACTAAGCAATTAAACTGGACATATTAAAAAACCTGTATATGGATAAAAGTACAATTGATAAGAGTTAAAAACATAAAATGGTATAAAAATGGGTTTAAAAAACCTTTCTTCTAAAATGGTTGAATTTCTTGGTTGAATGTGAAGAAGGATGAGTGTGTTGCAATGAGGCATGCTTTTATGTGGACAAGTAGTGATGCATCCATGTTTTATCACCTGGTAAAAATCCTGTTAAATGTGTCTTGTCTTTTGTGAGAATGCGGACGCTATTTTTATTTTCACACTAACTGCGTAGTAAGCGAGGGTGACTTTCATCGTCCGAAGAGGGACCACCCCCCTCCAGGGGATCACTTGCTTACGCGATAACTGCGTCGTTTAAATAAATATCCAATAGGCTGCAGAAAAACGTGTGACGATGCAGAGAGGTTGATCATCAAGGTCATCGACGAGGGACCACGATGTCCCATGACCCCCCATAAGTTCGAGCGACCCGGTGACAAATGCCCAAATAAGGAAGTAAGTTTTTCTACGGCGCGGGAGACGGTAATAAATCAGGAAGAGATGTCAAAAGACATCAACAAATTCCCAGATTTTTCCCATGCTGATCGGGTATATAAAGGGGTCGGATTTTCTACTCCAGGCGCTTAGCCGAGGAGCTAACGCCGAAGAAACCCCTCTGGACAGCTAAGGAAAAACGGACAGCGATCGTTGGGGAAAGAGAACACAGTGGACTACTCTTCCAGCACCCTCAGAAGTTCATAATCGCCGCTCCATAACAAAGTAAAGACTTGAATATTTTCTATTCTCTCCATATACGACGGAATTACTCCTCGAAGAGGTTAACAGAAGAAACCTCCGAGCGAACTTCACCTGGAAGAACTCTCTACAGATTAGGAGCGACGGAGCATACACCGCATCTAGACATAGCCGCACAACCTGAGAAGGACATCGCTCCACATAGCCTTCAAAGGACACCTTGGAGTAGAAGACGATGATCACAGAGTGTTTTATCAACGCCCTATAATATGAGAGCGTTTCCTACAAGGTAAACCCTTGCCATAATTATCTCTCTCCAACGTAAGGTCTCGAACTTTAGCATTAGGTTAGGTTAAGATAGATTTTTGAATATCTATTTATATCTTGATACGTGAGTGTTATATATTTATTATCTTTATGTATAATTTCTCATTGGTTTATTAAATGTGTTATTTATTTAAACCTGTGTAGTCAATTGGACACCTGGTCACGACTTCCGACTCCTCCCCACTCATATTTTTAGCCCTTCTATACCATCCGACAACCGAGAATGGGTCTTTCCAACCCGTGCAGATTAAGTGGTCATTAGGGTTCACCCAGTGGCCCCCTGCTACTCACACTTTTATATCTGCACTGAGCAAAATGTTGGAATGATAGGCCCATTTGGTTCATTTTGTGTTCCCCTTCTATGTTCTCTGAACACCAATCATGTGCAGATTTTCTAGAAAGTCAAACAATTATGCATGCATTTTGATGACAGTTAAATGATGAAAACACCGTAATGCACTGTCTATAGTTACTTTCCTATCTGCTTGAATCATCATCTTTTCCCACTACAGTTGCTTCTGTCACAATTTCAACATATTAGGATATTCAACATCATAAAATCTGTAACTGATAGAAAAATGATATTATGCATTAATCAGTAAAAGGCAATTGATATTGTCAAAATATCAGTAATTAGTTGATAAAATTATCAGTAACAATTACAACAAATTGCTTAAATGGCTTTATTTTAATATTGTAATCTCAATTATTTTATAATAATCCAATGATTGCCTAAATATTTGAGCTATAATATGGCTATAAACAAATAATTAATACAAACAAATTTGATACTAGAGGTAAGTGTTAGGCATCTTTTATCTAAATTAATAATTATAATTTTAATAATTTAATAAATAATTTAGAACCTTCTGGAAGAAAAATAACTGATCCGGGATGGGGCTTAAACCCCATCGTCATGTGGTGTGCTACCAATACCTGGATCAGTAATTTTTCTTCCAGAAGGTTCTAAATTATTTATTAAATTATTAAAATTATAATTATTAATTTAGATAAGAGATGGAGCCTAACACGTACCTCTAGTATCAAATTTGTTTGTATTAATTATTTGTTTATAGCCATATTATAGCCTGAGGTGATCATTAGATTATTATATTAACTCATTGGGCTTTGAGATGTATATTATACTCTCAATTATTTTAACTCTTGCTAAGTTGTATTTTTTCCCCCCCTATCTTATTCTGCCCTGTGGGATTTTAATAACATCCATGATGGATTTGGACAGGCCTGCATAAGTCTGCGAGGTGGCAAGGGACAAGGCCTGATATATCTGAAACATACTGCCCATGAAAAATTCCTGAGATTGTTTGTCTGGATTTAATCTCGGGTCCTCCAGAGCGAAAGGCTGATGCTTTAACTATTTTGGCCATCCAGCCATATCATAAAAAGAAAAAATGTTCCAAATTTGTTTATAGGAAGGAGATTTTCTTTTGCTCAGCACTTTTCTTAAGTTGGTTTTTTTCACTGTATTTGGAATTTGTAACTCTGAAAGTTAGTAATCATATTTTACATAGTTTATGATTGTTAATTGCAATTATTGTTAAGTTGTAATGTAAAATAATATCGAATTTCATAAATTCCTGATATCAGTAACATGAAATGTCAATAATATTATTAAACAGTATTTGCTTTTGCGACTTTGATATTGGAAAATATCACAACAGTTGACTATTCAATAACATCAAACATCACTAATGCAGGTCAATCTTTATCAGCACCTTTTGAGTATCCTCGAAAAAATTATTGATCCAATTGTATGTAGATTTACATCACAAACACTTTTCACTGTAAACAGAAAACATTTCCTTGATGATTTCCTTTGCAGAAAGTCCTTTTTTTCCTCAAAAATGAACAACAAAACACTATTATTTAACTGTACAATCCTCAAGCATGGTCACCATTTTGAAACTGAGCTAATATTTCTTTCTAAGAAGAAAAGCAATAATCTACTTTTCCACAATCATTCAGAAGATTAAGATATTGATTGTAATGCATTATCAGTGAATCAGCAAATATTTCATGTCTTTGAAAGTGTATCACTGTGTCAAAGCTATTTTTGTATTTCTATGTCAATCTGGAATTGATAATCACTACAATGCTTCTTTAGAGGATCAAACAAATAAGTCGTCTGATCCAAAGTCTGAGTTATATGTTGATCTAGTTAGTCTATGGATAAATAGAAAAATATCCTTTCTTTACATTTTACTTCTCAATCAAATTACATATTTAAAAATGAAGAAGATTTAATTACTTAATTTCTATTATATGATAATTTTAAATCAAATGAAAATAATACAATACTTGAAAAATAAAACACTAAATACACACAAAAAAATTATTGTCTATTGAATTTTAAATTATAAATTAAATATCTGAATTGTCAAAACAGCAAGTATGGTCATTTAAATAAATAACTAAAAGCTAGGGTGCTTAAGTCTATGTTTTTTCAAGAGCTTTATGAAGTGATTTATTTTATCTTTTAACCATTTAAATATTTTATGCTGTAGTTCATAAATTTAATCTGGGTTTAGAATTTTACAAACACCTAAACTAAATGAAAAATTTCAAAATTACTGAAGTTTACTAATTCTTCTACTTAAATAACAGTACTAAAGAACAAAGTTTATTTATTAATTATATACTTACAATGTTCATCATCACCATAATAGTCTCGCCATAGAATTAAGCTATCCATATCGAATTCAATTTCACCAATAGTATCGCTGTAGGTACCAGCAACGTGAGTAATATTAATAAATGGTATAGGCCTATTTTCTTTGTTTTCTACATCACATGAGGAACTTCCAGATATTGGTACTTTGATAACTCTTAATCTAAGAAAAAAATAAATTTATTTTATATATATTTATACTATATAATATTAATATACATTTTAAAATTAAATAACAAACAAATTATATTAATCTATTGATTATTATTATTTTGATCCATCCAGACTCTTCAGATTACAAATTACATTAACAAACAACAAGCAATTATTTATTGTGACATTGTCACAATGCCAGACTAATTTTTAATCATATTTTTTTAATTTATTTAATTTAAAATATATGCTCTTTGCCTCAAAATAGTAGTGTCTTGCCCCTGTACATCATACTTTTCCTGTTAGCAAAAGTCGTGTCAGTCATCTTACTCATTTTGAGGTAAAATTTTTGAATTGAAATAAATATGACTTCTGATTTGTATCAGACATTGCTATATAGTTAATCAGGGCCTCCTGCACCTAAGGTTTCCATATCTGGTCTCATCTTTCATCTATCTGACTCCATTCTTGAAATTAAGGAAAGACAGATGGATGGACAACAGTGAGAATTTATAAGTCTAAAATTTTTTCAAATTGTACCCCAATAATCTTTAAACTCACTAGATTATTATTTTAAACTTAAATTTGTTATTTCAGATATTTTTTTAAACATTTTTCTTACTTTCAATTTCATGAACACGTTCTAATTTATACAAGCATTTGATATATTTTGTTTTTTATTATTGCAAGACAAAAACTTTTTAAAAGTTTGTAAAGTATAAAAGCTTCTCTACTGATGGACTTGTGTCTTCAGTGTCATCGTCTTCCTCATCTTGGTATTTTATGTTGTTCAATAACCTCATTAAAGTTTAAGTACTCTGATGTAACTAAAGTATTGCATTGTCAACACCAACAAAGTCATCAAATGTTTCTTCCACATTCATGTTTTCCACATCATCACAGTCACCAAACTTTCATAAACTTCCTGAACTTGATATCCATTAAAACCCAATCCAGCCTTTTTAAAACAATTTACAATTTTCACTGCTTCATCTCATTTCAGAATTTCTCAATGAATGAATTGAATCAAAAATATTTAATTTTGTTTCAACTTTGAAATCTTCACCTAATAGATATAAACTTTCTATAACTTGATGCACTGAACATCTCCTGTAATGAGTTTAAAATTCTTTAATAATCCCCAAATCAAGAGGTTCCAGCTCACTAGTACAATTTAGAGGTAAGAACTTAAGTTCAGTATTCATGATTAATTTCAAGTGAGTAGCTAAACATTTATTCATGGACAAAATAATTTTTGTTACAAACATTTTTGCATCTAATGACAGAAAAACATTCCTGAAAAATTTTTTGATTGTCATTCATGCCTTTCCATTGGAATTGTATAATATGTCAGATATATTCTGATATATTTTAGGCATCTCAGTTTGGCTGATTTGCTTATTATCAGCTACTTTAATTTTTGGTCCCATGAACTCTCAGAACAACTGTTTACTCATTTTTCATTCAGGGCACTTATCCTCACAAAAACAAGGGTTTTGCCATATAGAAAACTAAAAAAATAAACCTGTTTCATCAATGTTAAATATGTCTTCAGGTTTATATTGCCAACAAAATGAATTAACTTTCTCTTTCTGCTCTCACTGTTTCTGGATCCACACTTTTACTCTCACCAACCATAGTTTTGTAAACTAAGTTGTGTCTCCTTAAAAATGATCCATCCATCCATTTGATATTTAAATTCCTGAAAATTCATATATTTTTCAATTTTGAGGCCTTGTTTCCATATCCTTAGTCAATCAATAACAATGTTCTGGGTCCTGAGAGATACGATATAATCTTTTAATATTTTTTCAAGTTCTTCATATGATAAACTTTATGTAAACTCTTGTTGGGAAATGACTGCACTTTGTAATATTGTTCTCAATGTTTTCTAACGTTTAACAATTCTGTTTGGAAGGGAAGAAAGCTAGCACAAGCATACCTGGGAAAACTTCATTCAAATAGTATCAAAACTGAGCTAACAATGAAAGGCTTATTGGTGACAGTAGCATCACCAATTTGACTTCAAAAGTCATTAATTTTATTTTTCTTTTCTTATTTTTGAAAACATGTTTTTAAGAAATTCCAGATTTAATCAATCAGAATACAGAATAAATTTCAGAAAATATAAAAAACTAAAATGTAATTTATGGAAAAATTTAAAGGTAACTAACTACAGGGAAAAAGTTGAAAAAATATGGTATAACCAGAAACTCTAATTGTGGAAATGTATGTATGATGCATATATTTCAAATTTATCTCATAATTTATTTTCTATTACTAAGCAAAACATAACTAAAAATTTATTTGCCCCAAAAAAATTTTTATCTAGATAAATAAACAGATTTCGTTTAAGGAACATATAGGGGGTATTCATGATCCATAGCTTTTCTTACTGTACCAGCATTCGCTACTTTCTTAATAGTCATGAAAGCATTATTTTTCCCAATTTCATTTACATTAGTATAGCTTCTATGGCAAAATTCAACAGCTTAGTGAAAAGCTTCCTAATTCATCAATTACCAAAATTTGCCAACAAAAGACCAGAGTCATTTTGTGATTTAAAAAATGGCAGAAAGAATTCTTCAAAGAAGTAGTCCAACAAAGATAAAATAAGCATTGTAAATTGTTTCTTTGAAATGTATGTTCATGGTTCATAGCTTTCCTAGAATACAGCTCTTCAAAACTGAGAAATGCTTTCCATTTTGAATACTCCTATATCTGTAGAAATTTAATAAAATTCAAAAAAACAGGGATCTGAATTTTATATGGTATCAGAAACAAAATTCCTACTTTCTGAAAACTGATTTTAATTATTAATGTTCTATTTTCTTCTGATTTTTATTATTCACTTTAAACATTGCTGTAATATAAAGTTTAAATTTGATATTTTGAATCCTTAAGTTTTTTATTGATATTATTTTGCTTAGATACTTCCACATTTTAATAGACCCTGATAATAGTTTTTACATACATATATTATATAAATATCCAAACCCTGAATTATTGTAACTGTCAGATCACTAACTACTGGATTAACTTTTGAGCTACAATTTGGCAAACTATTATTACAAATACAGAGTAATTTGTAATAATTAGGCAGTTAGGTAAATATCTTAATAATTTCAAAAGTTAAATTAATTAGTAAAAGAAAGTAGTCTAATCACTTATCTTTAGTTCAAATTATTTTGTAATCATAAATAATTATTAGTCAAATTATATTCCCAAAAGTTTAATCTAGTGGTTAGCAATCTGAAAATAGTTCCGAGTTTCCTCCTCCTCTTCTCCCAAATGGGGGCCAGCTCCCCCTCAAGCCCTCCCAGAAGGCATACTATTCTACCCATAGAGTGTTGTATTATTCTCCTCAAAATTATTATTCAAAATTTGTTGCACATTGTTATCAATGGATTGCTCACTGCTGCTTTCTTTTCCTCAGTAGCTTTGAGTTACCCAAAAAACGTTGGTTAGGTCTGGTTGGTTAAACAACACAAACTGCAAACTTTTCTATCCATCTATTTTTCCTCTTATTTTAGAAAATAATATGGTAAGTTATAATAGCACAAACATAAAATATACCATGCAGAATAAAATTTGAAACACAACACATACATGTAATGATATGAGCCCTCACAAAGGACTAGTAATTTCTTATGAGCCGTATATGGGACAATTATGAGCCCATCTTGGAACCCCATCTACTAACCGACACAGACATCCTTGTTATATAACATTTTCTGGCCTTTTTGCACTCTCTGAGTGGTAAAGGGCATTAAAACACACACACACACGCAAAAAGTCTGAAAATAGTTTTTATTTTGTACTGTTAATGTAAAAGGATATTTGCTTGATGGGAACTTGATATATATGTATATCATTTTCAGTTATTTATGTTGTAAAATTCAATTTTTATCAATATTAATTATTGAGGGATTTAATGATTAAAAAATAAAACATTAAAATATTAAGCTTAATGATGTCCATATTTTTGTTTAACCTTTGAACAGTTCAAATTGTTATTAAAATTTAAACTGACTAAGAATTGTAATTTGACAATGATCATGAAAGATTATCAAAAACATTCATTTGTTTGTTAAACATACTTCTGGAATAGATGTTGATTATTTTTGTTTATTACAAATATTGGGCACCATTCTGATATTTTAAAGTGTTAAATAAGATTTTTATTTTTGAAAGTTATAATAAATTTCTCATTGTAAATGTTATAATGATATACATGTAAACTTATTAAATCTATTTTTCATTTTAAATAAAAGCATAATACAGAAAAATCACTCACTTATCAACTGCTCTATTTTGATCTGCAAATGGTATGACTGTTGCAAAAGAAGCTGAAAAAGTAGTGGTTTTTGGAACTAATGTTGTGGAAGAATAAGAATAGCTGCTTCGTTTCTTTAGAGCACTTTTTTTAGGTACTGCAGAGAGTTGAGGTTCTTTGGCTGGAATTTCTTCTACTGAATAAAAAATTAAAAATTTTAAATAAACAAATAAATATAATATATCTAATTATTTCAAATATTAAAAATCAATTTAAACTATTTTACAATTAATAAAATGAATGAAACCAAATAACTATTAATTAAATTGTTTTGGTTAAATAAAAGATTACTAGTTTGAATTAATAGTACATGACCTAGCAAACTGGTTAAAAATATTTTTGTTAATTATCTCTCTTTTGACAGTTAAACTGTTCTTGCTAGTAACAATCATTATTTTTTTTAATTTTAATTATATTTGTACTTTTTGAAAATAAATTTCAAAAATATTACAAGAAAAAGAACATTTCTAAACCCAAACATTTTAAAATCTTCCAAAACTCAGATGTTTATCAGGATTGGATTTTGAATGTCATTACTGCTAGATGAAACATTTCTCATCTGTGATCTGATCATGATCATCATCTACACAGCTAATCTAAATTATCCAGTCTGAACTGTAAGTTCTAATTAATAATGTTTTACTGAATAAAAATTCTTTGATTTTTAATTTTCAATATTTAATCAAAATTATAAAATTAATTACATTATGATTCTAACACTATAAAGAATTATAGTTTCCAATCATCATATAGATACAGTCAGACCTCAGTTTAGTACCCCCATTTGTTTGCTTTTGAAATTGGCACTAAATTGAAAAACTTCAAACAGTGAGAATTACTGTATTTACTCGCATATAGGATAAGGTGTGACTTTAAAGATCAAAATAAAGAAAATTAGATTTATTAATACAATTCTAATTTTATTTTGCTTAATCACAAATAAAATATCAAATGCACATAAATGCACACATTGTCCAGCAAAAATTACTGGCANTCCGATTCCAGATTGTATATTTTCTAACAGTTGTGTAGGTGATCTTGCTTTATCCACAATGGACCTAGGGAATGTGTTGGCTTATGTGTTTTTGCAAAGGCAAATAATTTCATGGTGTCTAGTGAGGCAACAACTGCTCTGTCCAACTTTAACTTGGCAAGGGTTGTATGTGTAAAATGTGTGATATGGGCTTGTAACCTGTCCACATGGCTTTCATCCAGAGGTTTACAGTCCATATCCATGATGTATTGATGCTTGAGAGAAAAAATTTGAAATTAGTTTTGCACATTCCAATTTAGAATGTTGTTGACCTGAAGAAAATCTTGTGTAAGATCAAAAATGTTTGTTGAATTTACATTAAAATTATTTATTAGATTGTAAATGTTTTGTTTGATGTACTTAGTCATTGTTCCAGTTATTAGGAAGAACGTAATTTCATTGCAGCACTTGTTTGATCTAACTTAAAAATGTTTTTGTCTTCTTGATGGGTTGGCTTTCTTCAGGTATATTACTATATTAGAACTTTTTCCTAAGCCAAAGTTTAAATGCAGGATTGTTTCAAATTCAAAATTATCAAATTGAATTTATTTTTTATTTTATTTTTTAAATTAGTACTTTAATTAATAAAATTACATTTTGAATCTTCATTAATTATTAAAGTTGCTACTCTAAAATTATTCTTCGAAAAGAAAAAAAATTTGTGTAGTTGAAGAAATGTATTTTGTTTTATTTATTTGAATTGTATAAACTTCCTGAAAATTTAAATATTAGAAAAACTGCAGTTTTTTTTCTATAGATGAATTAAAAATTTTTCTTTTTATATTTAGTTTTTCTATTAAAATTATAGGTATAGTATGGGAAAGTAAACTATAAATTAGAAATATAAATATTTTTAATGTATGACTAGTAAGTTAGTGTTGGGCTGGCTTTTAAAGCTTAAAACTATCACAGTTTTAACTCAGTAATCAAATATCTCTAAAAATGATACTTTTAACTCTCATTCTTTTTATTCATACATTCAAAAAGTAAAAAAATAATGAAGATAGAAATCATTCTCAAAAATACCATATTTACTCGCATATAGGATAAGGTGTGACTTTAAAGATCAAAATAAAGAAAATTAGATTTATTAATACAATTCTAATTTTATTTTGCTTAATCACAAATAAAATATCAAATGCACATAAATGCACACATTGTCCAGCAAAAATAACTGGCATTTTAAACTTTGAGGAAATATCTTGTAAAATTGTCAACATAATTTGTTCACGTAAAGTGGACAATCCGGAACCTTTTTTGCCAATTCTTAACAGTCTAATTCATTCTTTGTCAATTACATTTATGAGTTTCTCCAAATTCTGATCTCTAAATAATAATCTGTTTTCACGTGGGAATGAATTAAAACTTATATCTAGCTCCCGTATAATTTTGGAATTCAATTCAAAAGCTTTGTTTTTCCTATTGCTATTCATCTTTACTCCTGACAATACACAAGAATGATTCAAACAATCCAGAAAAAATATTTTTGTTTTTAAATAAAAATATACAGTTTACAAAAATTATAGAAAAAACGAAAAGAATCCTTCACTTGCACATATAGGACGACATTAGGTTTTTGAAGCAGTGAAAAATGAATAAAAACCTTGTCTTATATGCAAGTAAATACAGTATATATAGTAATAGGATTTGTACATTAGTTTGAACTTTTTTAAGACACACAATCCATACACAGGCATATTGTATATGTATCTGTTAACACAGGAATTGTATATGTCTTAAAAAAGTTCAAACTTATGCTATTGATTGGTTTGATTCAAAAGTTCATAAGCATATATAGATGTTCCGTTTAAACTGTCATAATTTTGAATGTATATGATCTGAAGAAGATATGATAAAATCCAAAAAGTGCTTGATCAAATGAAATACTGTATTTTGACTACTTCAACAATTTTGAATTCTTCTTGTTTTTAATATACATTTATACTGTGCCATAATACTTCATTGTTTGTAACAAAAACATGAGAGTAAAGTTTAAATCATAGCAAAAGAAAAACTAAGTCTTTGAGATTCTGGAAAATATTCATTCTAAAGAAGTCTAAAATACACCAGCAGAAAATGAAATCCCAACACCAAGAAAAAATAAGTTTAGAGGAATGAAATTCAGGCAAAGCATTTGTCTAGGTAACACATTTATTTGATTGAATTTTTAAGATCACAGGCTAAAATATGTGAGAGAAGATCCATTTCAAATGTAAAATGGCGGTACATTAATAACCGTTGTAGTTGCCACAATTTTGAATGCAAGCATGCAAACGTACATGCATTCTGTCGTACAGTAATTTTGTGGGATGGAGTTCCATGCCTGTCAATCAGTCAACAATTAATGCTGGTTGTGAGTGACACTTAATTTTTCGTCCAATAATGTCCCATATGTGCTCAATGGGAGAAAGATTTGGTGATCTGCGAGATCACCAAATCTTTCTCCCATTTAGCCAAGGTAACAAGTCAACACTCTGTAGAGCACATATTTACAGCAAATGTGATTTGTACGTTCATAGTGGTGCTACTCGCATCACTCTTACTCATCTAGTGCGAAATTTTAATAGACATCATCTTTCAGATATGAAAAACATGCCTACCAAATTTCATTTATCTAGTACAACTCTTTCTTGGTGTTGGGATTTCATTTTCCACCAGTGTATATGCAATACTGAAAAGAAAAATCATTAGTACTAAATAGAAAGCAGAAGAACTTTTTGAATGTGATAAAAAAAATACCAAGTGTTTAGTAAAATGGTATAAAACTAAACTGTAGTGAAAAGAAAGTTTTTGAAGAATTCAAAAAAGTAATTAATTTCCTTTTTCTGTTTATAACCATACATCTGAAACATTTAATGTCATTTCTAAAATAAATCTAAAATAAATAAATCTAATTTCAAAATGCAGATATATACAATATCATATAAAGATGAGATACAAAAATAATAGAGCAAACATCTCTCTATAAATAATATTTTTAATATTAATTAATTTACTTATTTATCACATTTACAGAACAATGTCACAAATACAATAAATGCTTCCTCCATTGCAAGGAATATTTAAAACAAATCCTGATGAAATATTACAGTAACATTTAAACAAGAAAGTTTAAAACAATAAAAAATAGTTAAGATTTATTTAAATAGTATAAAGTTATTTTTTTGCAATACAATCTGTATATATGGTATTACAAGTATGGTAAGTTCTCGATATTATTAACAGATTTATAATATTGGTAAAAAAGGGAGTATTATCATGTCAAGGCATCAAAAGGAAACATAGGGGCACAAAATCCTAGTGTGTACAGTAGAAATTCTTATGCTGATGTAGTGTGAAGATAGTAGACTGTTAACATACCTATAAGTATATAATTGATCAGAATAGTTATACATTTAAAAAGGAGACCAAGGCAAATGTGAGCAACATTGGGGGATTTAATGAAGGGCAAATGGAATAGACTATTTAATAAAAAAAAAAAAGATAAATTTTAGAGATTTCTGCACTGAGTTATTTCAGAAGATAAGGAGAAATAGAAACCCACACTGATAAGGCAAAGTCAATTAGGGGTCAAACATTTGTAAAGAATGTCAAGTGGACGTTTTAAAATAAAACAAAAATGGTTGTAAAATGCACCATATTATGCAAAGGTAAAACAGAAACACTTTGATTAATTCATCAATTTGTAGACTAAAAGTGAACTTTAGGTCAAATGTTATTCCTAACATTAAAGATAAATTGCAGATACTGATTATATGACTGTTAATATTGGGCAATGATTTCAATAGACTAAAAACCACAACTTTAGTTTTCTTTATATTAATTTAAGTAATTTGTTTATAATATTAATACTGTCTTGTATTAAATTAATGACAACTGAAAATTATTACAGGTAAAAATACTGTAACATTAGTAGATTGTGTATTAAATCATCATAAAATAACTAGAAAAAGGAATTAAGTATATCAGACAGAACATAATGGTGGAAGTACCACAAAGGAAAGACTAACAAAGAGATTAAAGATTTAACTATATAATATCAATAGATAAAGTATATATATTATTAGGAGCATGTGATAAGTGTAAAAAATGTGTTATGAAAGATAAATAAATATTAAAAGTATAGCAGAACAGTAAGCAAAATGATGTTTTTTCTCCCACAGACAAATTCGTTTGGAACTAAATTACTTATGTAATTAGTATGTTTTGGTTCAAAAGAACAACTTTTACTATGTGTGACAAAATGAATTTGCTATTTTGGTGTATTAAAATAATCATAAATACCTGTTTGATATCTTGAACCTAATATTGGTGATGGTGAAGAAAACATTGGAGGGGGTGGAATAGGACCTATATCATTTACAGGTATTGAAGAATCATTTCCTGAAGGAACTACAATAGATTCTTCTTCGCTTGGTGGTACTTCCTCCAATGCTGCCAAATTCATAGTTGATATCTCTGACAGAACTGATGATTCTATGGAACAAAAGGAAACATTTATTTTGTGTAATATATCTAATATTTTAATGTTTTTATGTTCCTAGATATCAGTATTTCAAATTATAAATAAATTATAGTTTTTATAAAAATGGAGCAATAAACATACAAAAGATGAAAAATAAAACTGGCCAATAAATTCCTTTTTTATTTTTGGACAGATTCAATGTAAGATGGCTGTACCAGATTTCTGTTTTATTATTATTATTATTAATTTAATAAGGAAAATTCATATGGTATAGAGTGTCCAAAATGTTACTGTGCAGTGAGAAATTTGTAATGACATTAAAGTTACACATACAGTATTATATACAAGACCTGTATATTGTATGCAATACTGTTCACATATAACTGGTCAACTGATACCAAATGAACAATTTACAGTCTTGTAAGCAATACCGTACGTACAACTTTAACATCATTACAAATTTCTTATTGCAAGTTAACTTTTCGGACACCCTGAATTATGGTTACAGTGCTTGATCATCATCAAACATCATTATAATTTGACAAATGTAAACATCCATGCCCAAAGTAGAGATATGAACATACAATATGGCAAATGAGGAACTATGTTTTAAGAAATTTTGCTGCCAGATTGGTAAGAAAATGTGAAGCAATCAAGACTATCTGATTATCCAAATTAATAAAATGCTCATAATAAATCATTGAAACTTATTTCAAAAAGTATATTTTGTTCTTTTATTTATGATTATTAGTTACTGTTTAAGTTTAGTCACACAGAAATACTATAAAAATATTATTATTCAACTCCTAATTTCAGTTAATGGATGTAACTAAAAATAGTAATATAGTACAGAAGTCAATTTTTAATAAATTTATAAACATTTCCAGAATATAAATATTCCATAATTAAAAGATTCAAACTGTTAGAAAAAAATTAAAATACTTTAGTTTTCAAATAATCTTTCAAATATAATTCATATAAATTTTAATATAATAGAATATTCCAATTTTTACTTTTCAAACAATATAAAATAGCAAATTTTTTCAAATTTTCAAATGATAAAGCTGTTATTATATTTTGTTAATTTACTGATGTTAAAATTTTAAATTTACATTATTTTATTCTGTAATAGGATCAGGAGAGATCTGTATTATTAGTTGGAACCATTATAGCAATTTTATTAAAATGAAGACAGAATTTTTGAAAGGGTGAGGTTTAAAATTATCTTTCATGATGTAGTTTATTAATTTTTACAATTACATATGTAAAGTAATACAATACAGTATACTAAGAAGTAACTGAACAGGTACAGAATAAATGGTTATTTTGTTTTAATTAATTTTTTTTACTCTTCCCAAATTAGTTAAACCCTCCAAATCCTTCCCGTGTTCACAGCTTTGAATCAAGGTTTATTTTTCATTTCAATGTTAATCAAATAAATATTAAAAGTCCAAAATAAGATAATAAATTCAAGAATTTTGTAGTTTTATGTGTAGCAGTACAGCTGGGGCAGTAAAAGCATTGGCCTGCCACTATGGAGACCAGCGTTCAAATCCGAATTGAAAATTTCATAGATTTTTTTGTTAATAGCCTGTCTCAAATATGTTGGGTACCATTGTTCACCATCTGGCTGCCCCCAATGTGGGTCCAACCAAATCCACAATGAAAGAAGTGTCCACAGAGAAAAGAGCTGAAAAACTCATTATATGTTCCAGGCATTGGGAAACTAAACTAGAAAAGTAAACAAATATTTGATGATTATGTTGTCAAATTCAAATATTGGCCCTTTGCACTCAAATATTCTATAAACATTTTATTAATTATATGATTTTATCACTATTTCCACCATTAGAATATAAACAATAATAGTTTACTTAATGTAACTTTACACAGTTGTAAGTTGAAACTTCCACTTCTAATTGTCCACATCTGAGGATGGCCCATTAACCAGACCAAAAACATTAGCATTATTTAAATTTTACTACTGTTAAATGAGTATTAATTTAGCTAAGTAACCAAAGTGATTAGATTACTCTTATAACCAATAACAGAAACGGACAGGTGCAGACAAACTTGAAATAGAATCAAATATCTATAGAAGTGAATACTTTATAGCAGAAATATTTCTCTAAACTATACAATAAATTGCTGTAAACAACTTAATTGATATTTATATGAAAAAAAATCAATAAATTTGATATAGAAACTCATTCACAAATTCTTTTGATCGGCATATATATAAATACTTTATAACCACAATTTACACTCAAAAAGTTTATATTCAAAAACTTTTAAATGTAAGTGTAAATATTATATTTAAAATTATATTGATCTGAGATAATTTTATAAAAAATATATTTTCTTTATAAAATATTAAAATTTTTGTGTTAAATTAAAACGAAATCAATCGAGACTTCGTTTCATCACTTGACATACATTCACTGATATAAATTATCCAAAAATTTTCTAGTATTTACTTGAAAAATGTCTATTCTTTATCATCATCTTATTTTAAGTTAGTAAACAGTAATTTAATTCTTATATACAGTGGAACCTCAGTATACGACCTTAATCCGTTCCTGGTGTTTGGACTTATACCGAATAAGACGTATACCAAACCAACCTTTTCCATAAGAAGTAATGTAAAAATGATTAATCCGTTCTCATGTAAANAATTTTATTTTACTATCTAAAATAAATACCTGTAATGAAAGAACAATATTCAAACAACAAAATTTACGAAAAGAGAAGAAAAATCTGTAGAAATGCAAAGGCCAATTGTATGAAGAGGTTGGTGCAAGAGGGATATATATCCACAAATGGCTGGTTTTGTGTCATCAGGGATTTTGCTCTCTGTGCATGTGATTTCATCTGTCCTTTTAATAGAAATATACACCATACCTAATTGTCGGCTGTCACAAGCATTCCAAGTTCACAAGTGTGTATTAAGCGCATATGTCTGAAGACATAGATACTTCTTAAATGCTTGTGGGAAAGCAACAGATAAAAATGGTAAAAGTTCATGGATATATTGTATGTTCTATTGTAGAGGACAATGTTGCCAGATTTTCAAATAAAGTCTTTCTACTAAATGCACTCTTACTGAACCTTGTTTATCTTTTTATTGCAATTCAACAAATAAAAAACTTCCCGGAAATGTTTTCTACCTAATTACACTTACCAAATAAACAAGTAAGAGCACTAAGAGGGCATATTTAATTGTTTAATATAATATTAAGGTTTTTTTTGCAATTATTTTCTCTATATAGTTAGAATTACTGTATCATACAGTATGTAGATAACTGATCATAATGTTGATTGGTTTAATGCAAAAAGCATAGTTTTGTGTTGGAGGCAACGTTTAATCTGAAACATGCAGATTTCATTGATTTGCTAGTTCTTTGGGAGCATTCCAATAACTGAGAACACATTTTGGATAACAATATCTTGAATAAAAATTCATAATATTGAATCGTAAGTGCATTAACATCAACCAAAATATTCGCATGTAACATACGGGTTTATGTCCACAGATTTTGCATGGTCACAACTGTGTCAACATTGACCTACTGGACAGATTTTGTGGAACATAAATCCTCCATGTGAGTTTTAACTATGAGGCACCAGAGAAAGTCCAATTTCAAATACTTTGGATATAACACAGTTTTTTTTTGTGTATCTGTAAACATGGGTCTATGGACTTATATCCTTCTTGAACTGATCATTTAATTTGTGAAATAATGCTAGATTTTTCTTTATTGTTACTGTTTACATCTGAAAATTTGTCATGCTTAAAGTACTTTCATTTGACTTGTATATAACATTGCAATTGCCATGTCTACATAACAGATGGTTTTTGGCAATCCAGTTTTGGACTAATGTCAAAGAACTGTCATTCTGGCTCTGCTTACCTCTTCATCAGATGCAAAGCACTTGGTCTCAAGAGCTTTATTGTGGAAACAGAAAAAAAATCACATAGTGATAAATCCAGTGAATATGGGGGTTTGGCAGGATCTCAGCTTTAACTGTAATACAGGTTGCACAATACTGACAATGTGCAATCTGACATTATTGTGATGGAGAAATCATTTTATATTAGCAAGTTCTACACGCTACAGTAGGGTTTTATTGTGATTTGCTTCCTTATTCAAAGTGTTCCTCAAAGGCACTTATTTGCACATTTTGTGGCTTGAGAAACATAAAAGAAACAAGAAAGAAATCTCCTGACATAGCTTTTGCCTCACAATGAGTGCTAATGTCAGGCCTTGTGATAAAATATAACTAAACAACTAATTAATAATATTCTTTTTTAGAATATCATAATTAGTATAAATCAATAATTCTCAAGCTTTTATGAATCAAAAACTCAAATATCCTAAATGTTGACTACAGGCCAAAGCCAATACAAGGTTAAATTTGTAAAATTCATTGCATGTGGCCTGTACACAACATGAAAAATTGGATTACCAGTAAACACTAACTACACTATAAAAGAAAAATGGCAACGAAATTTAGTAGCTACCCATAAAAACAAATATTTATTTTCATAAAATTTATTATGTCAAGTTAAAGATATGATAATTAACTCTAGTATACATATAAAATATATAGCACAGTGAGATTTATATAAATAACAATCATTCCTGATGCTGTTCCTTTCCTACTGATCATAAGTCTACAGCATCTTATCTGTGAAGAAGTCAACGCTCCTTTACAGCTTTTGTTTTTGTGGCTTATACACGAGGATGGCCTATAGCCAAGGTTTTAGGGTAATATGTTAAATTACTGAATAATTATATTATTAATGCTTGTATGTTACCGAATGCAATTTGTTAGAATTGAGAGTCACAATTGTAAAATCTATATTGTTGATTGTTAATGCAGTTAACAGATGAAAAGATTGATGCATGCAATCTTATTCTTTAATTACAATTTACAATTTTAGTCAAGTTAAATAGACGAAGATAGAAAATAATCATTCAAACTAATATTTTTAATTATTAAATACTTT